TCAGTAGTATATTCATTGAGAAAGGAAATTCTTGTGGCGGATAGCTTATTCTGGGCATGGTCAAGGGTTTGAGGTTCCTATGAGAAATGTGGGTAAGAAATGTTCGGGAAAAAATGGAATATAAAGGTCAAGTTGCCAAGCGGTGGCTCATGCCTATAATCCCAGCACTTTGGGAGGTCAAGGTGGGAGAATGGCTTGAGCCTAGGAGTTTGAGATCACCCTGGGCAACATAGCAAGACCCCATCTCTAAAAACAATAAATTAGCCAGGCAGGGTGGCATGTGCTTGTACTCCTCACTACTTGGGAGGCTGAGGCAGGAGGATCAGTTGAGCCTAAGAGGTTGAGGCTGCAGTGAGCTGTGGTTGTGCTACTGCACTACATCCTGGGTGACAGTGAGATCCTGTCTCGAAAAAAAAAAAAAAGGCCAAGTTCACAAAAGGGATCTAAGCTGGAAATTAAGATGCAGAAGTCATCATTATGTAAGTGGCAGTCTAAGTCTAAGCTCTGGGAATAGTTGAAGTGATTCAATGAGGTTAGATAGTGAAAAGAAAGTTGGCTAGGGCTGGATGGACTCTGAGAATACCAAACATTGAAGGAGTATGTGGAGAAAGCAAGCTAGCTTCTAAATGCTGCTCAGAAAGTTTGGCCAGAGATGTAGGGGGTATGGTGTTAACAAAGCCGAGGGGAATTAGGTTCCAAGTGTGATGTGCTGCTCCAAGGTAATGGAAGGTGAGGACTGAAAAATGTACACTGAATTGAGCAAGCAAGATTCTTAGTGGCCTTGGTGAGAATAGTTGCAGCACAGCTCTGGGATATTCAGTGGATTTAAGAATAAAGAAAAACTGGCTGAAAAAGAAGACTATAATGAAATAATTGCTTCTTAATGGTAGGGTTATGTGCATTTTTTTGACATTTGTATTTCATAGCTCTTTATATTTGCCACATTGAGCATTTATTAATTTAATAATTGAAAAAATAAAATTTAAAAGCCTATAAAGAAATTTATGTCTAGCCTTATAATGTTGTTTCTCTTGTTGGGCAAAGGTAAGTCACTTTCAGACTTCAGGCAGAAACCTTAAAGATAAGGAATTCCTGAATTATATTTTCATACTCTACCCCTCAATCAGTTAAATATATATATTGAGCAGTTACTACATACCTAATCCTTTGTTAGTTGCTATTTGCTATGAAAGAAGTCCCACTACTACCATTCCCAACCCCGGAGGAATTAGTGATTAATTACATTCAATATATTATTAAATTGTCCTGTACAGATGTGTAAACGCTGGGGTGGCTGAGTAGTAAGCCTCCATTGATAGGTGGCAAATGCAAAAGGAGTTAATGAAGGGAGGGATCAAGAGGAAGTGTTAGAAGAACAGACTTCTTGAAGAAGATAATACTTGCATTGCACCTTAAAGGAGGAGAAGGATGTAATAAGTTGTGTGGAAGAAGGGTGAGAGAGCAGAGTGAGGACAAGCGTGGAGTCACTTGTGGGCGTGACATGGTATGTGTAGTTAGTGAGGACAGCCTTATGTATGGAAAGCCAAACAGAGGAAATTAGCCAACTCAGTTGTTTTTAGGGAATAATTTTAGATTTTTGAATGGTGACGTATGTGTTGGAAGCTTTTAAGCAAGTAGAAACTGGAAGAATGGAATAGTTAGTAATGGGTGATGAAACTTTACAGTTGAGAGAGAAAAGTGAGAAGAGAAAAGTGCCAAACTGAGAGAAAAAGCTCTGGTGTCATGGTAAGACCTCTGGGAATTGGGCCCTAACTCTACCACTTAATAAATAGTTCTATGACAATGATCAAGTGAATCCTGTTAACCTCTGTGGACTGCCATTTCTTCATCTGTAAAATTAGGAAATTAGGATATCCTGTGACCTCTGTGGACTGCAATTTTTTCATCTATAAAATTAGGAAATTAGGATGGTTGACCTATAAGTTTCTCCCAGCTCTATAATTCTGTGACACTCTTCATGCAATTGTGATGAAATAATTGACAACACTTTATGACTCAATTGGATATGAGAAGGTAAGCAAGTAGAGAAGTCAAGGTGACTTCAACATTTTGAGACTGAGAGAAAAATGTTATTCTTAGTAGAAATGGGGAAATATCAAAGAGGAGTAAGTTTAATAGTTCTGTAATGCTTTTAAAAGTCAAGGGGGAAGTCCAGCAGGTGGAGATGGAACATATTGCTAACGATTTTACTTAGGCTTTCTTAGGGACTCTTCAGTTTTGTCAGTGGTTCCTTTCATTGTTTTCTTTGAGGCCACATATCAAGCAAATTGACTAGGCTTCTTTTTTGTTTTAGTATTTAATCAAATGCCTTATTGCAAATATGCATCCATTTACTGGACTTGTTTTTATTTCAGGGTCTTTTTTTATTTTTAACTTTTAATGTTTTTTTTTTTGTAGAGACAGGGTTTGCCATATTGCCCAGGCTGGTCTTGAACTCCTGGGCTCAAGCAATCCTCCCGCCTTGGCCTCCCACAGTGCTAGGATTACAGGCGTGTAGCACTATACCCAGCTAATTCAGGCTTCTTAATAGTGTATTTTGTGAACATTTTAATAAATAGAGTGACCTTCCTTTCTTTCTGTCTTACTTTGCTCTGCTCTGCTCTGCTCTTCTTTCTCTTTCTCTCTGTCTCCCTCTCTCTCTCTTCCTCCTTCCCTCCCTCCCTCTTTCCTCTCCTGTCTTGTCCTTTCTTTAGACTGAGCTTATTATCCAGGCTGGAATGCAATGGTTCGATCTCTGCTCACTGCAACCTTTGTCTCCTGGGTTCAAGCAATTCTCCTGCCTCAGCCTCCCACGTAGCTGGTATTACAGGCGCCCGCCATCATGCCTGGCTAATTTTTTGTATTTTTAGTAGAGACAGTGTTTCACCATGTTGGTCAAGCTGGTCTCAAACTCCTGACCCAGGTGATCCACCCGCCTTGGCCTCCCAAAGTGCTGGGAGTGCCTGGCCTGCCTGAGTGACATTTATTAAGTAAATCTAAATGAGCTAGAATTCAGAAAATTCTCTTCAGCATTGTTAACAATCCCTCTTGGAGACATTATGCTAAGTGAAATAAGCCAGGCACAGAAAGATGAATATCATGTATTCTCATTTACATGTGGAATCTGAAAAAGTCAGATTTACGGAAGCAGAAGGTAGAATGGTAGTTGCCAGGGGTTGGGGGTGGGGAGGAAGTGGGAGATAGAGGTTAAAAGGTACAATTTCTCTTAAACAGGATTAATACATTCTAGAGATCTACTGCACAGCATGTAACTATGGTTAATAATGAATTGTATGCTTGAAAATTGCTAAGACAGTAGATCTTAAATGTTCTCATCACATAAAAAGATGATTATATGAGGTGATAGATATGCTAGTAGCTTGACTGTAATCATTTTACAATGTATACATATATCAAAATATCACATTGTAAATATATATAATTTTTTTCAATTTTACCTCAATAAAGTAGGAGAAAAAATAGTCACAAAGTGTACATCAATAGTGCTATAATTCTTATAATTCTTTTTTTTTTTTTTCTTCTGAGATAATGTCTCACTTTGTCTCACATGCTGGAGTGGAGTGGAGTGGTCATGACACACTGCACTCTCTATCTCCTTAGGCTCATGAGATCCTCCCACCTCAGCCTCCTGAGTAACTGGGACTACAGGTGTGTGCCACCACGCCTGGCTAATTTTTGTATTCTTTGTAGGGACAGGATTTTGCCATGTTGCCCAGGCTGGTCTTGAACTCCTGGCCTTAAGCTATCTGCCCATCTCAGCCTCCCAAAGTGCTGGGATAACAGGTGCGAATCGCTGCACCTGGCCAATAATTTTGTAATTCTTATATAAATATTTGGAGGATAAAATTATCAATAATTTAAAAACCACAGCAGCTTGTCTGGAAGTAATACGTTATCTCAATGGATTGTTCACAGTAAGTTACAGACCAAACTTTTCTTTTTATTTTATTTTTCTGGAGACAGAGTCTCGCTGTGTCACCCAGGCTAGAGTGCAGTGGTGCCATCTAGGCTCACTGCAACCTCCGCTGCCCGGGTTCAAGCGATTCTCCTGCCTCAGCCTCCCGAGTTGCTGGAATTACAGTCATATACCACCATGCCCAGCAAATTTTTTGTATTTTAGTAGAGATGGGGTTTCACCATGTTGCCTAGGCTAGTCTCAAACTCCTGAGCTCTGGCAATCCACCTGCCTTGGCCTCCCAAAGTGCTAGCATTATAGGCCTGAGCCACCACACCCAGCCCAGATCAAACTTATTGCACTTTTTCTCCCCTTCTCACTACTGTACTTGACTAGTCTTTAAATAAATAATAAAAGAAAAAAGAAAACCATAATGTTTCTTGGGTTGTCTGCCTTTAGGAGTAAAGCTTGGTACTTTTAATTCTTGGAGCCTTTTCTGAGTCGTTTTTTTTTTTTTTTGAGATGAAGTCTCACTCTGTCACCCAGGCTGGAGTGCAGTGGTGCGATCCTGGCTCACTGCAACCTTCGCCTCCCGGGTTCAAGCAATTCTCCTGCCTCAGCCTCCTGAGTGGCTAGGACTACAGGCACATGCCATCTCGCTCGGCTAATTTTTGTATTTTTAATAGAGACGGGGTTTCACCATGTTAACCAGGCTGGTCTCTAACTTCTGACCTGGTGATCCTCCCGCCTCGGCCTCCCAAAGTCCTGGGATTACAGGCGTGAGCCACCGTGCCCAGCCTTCTGAGTGTTTTAAATTTGTACTTCTTGATAATGTATCTTTATAATTGTGCTATACCTTTTTCATATGTTTAATTCTTATTTTCCAAAATAATATTGCTACCTTCAAGGAATTATCTTCTTATTTCTTTAGCCCTTAGTGACCTGGACCTTGATAAATTTTGTTAACCAAATGACCTTGTTTGATAGGTGATTTAATTTAAAAAAAATCAAAACCACCTTCAGCAGATTACCATTTGTTCAATGTAGTTTACTGAATACATTTTTACTGCTTTTTTGATTATAGAGCTCAAAGCATGCCTGTTGTTAAGGAAGTAAAGGTACATCTGTTAGAAGATGCAGGCATAGAGAGGGATGCTGTTACTCAGGAGACCAGAATTTCACCCAGTGGAATTGATTCAGCTACAACTGTGGCTGCAGCAACTGCTGCTGCCATTGCAACCGCAGCTCCATTGATAAAGGTATATTTTTCTTCCCAGATATTCATAACTACTTTGTGAAATACAGAAGTACTTATTAAGAACTGATTCTATAAATGGTTGTATATATTTATAGACTAGCAACATTGTTGCTCTCAATTTGAAAACATTTTCCCATTTGTGGTTGTATGTTACTTCTCAGGAATTGTGAAAGTTACCCTCTAATACTGTGATGGCACTAGCGAATTCAGAACTTCCCCAGTTTTAGCACTGAGAGTCCTTCATCCTGGGAAGCACCTTGGTCCTGGCAACCTGGATAATCAGTTATTCTTATTTGAGAGCTAGAGGAACCTTAGGAACCTTAGAGATAATCTATGCCTTAGCTGTCACTTTGTAAATGGGGAAGCAGAGAAACAGGTCAGAGTAGGCACGTAAGTCTGGAACAAGTAACTGACAGAGCCAAAACTAGAACTCAAGGCTGCTGACCTAACTCAGCCTTAAGTTAGTAAAGTATCAAAAGCTACTTTGTTTTTCTGTTCTCTTCTTTTTAATTTCCATTTAAGTATCTTGTTTTAGGCATCGTAAAATTCTTTGTGGCAGATTTGTTTGAGACAGAGTCTCGCTCTGTTGCCCAAACTGAAATACAGTGGTGTGATTTCGGCTCACTGCAACCTCCGCCTCCCAGGTTCAAGTGATTCCTCTGCCTCAGCCTCCTGAGTAGCTGGGACTACAGGGCATGCGCCACCATGCCTGGCTAATTTTGTATTTAAGTGGAGACGGGGTTTCACCGTGTTGGTCAGGATGGTCTCGATCTCCTGACCTCATGATCTACCCGCCTCAGCCTCCCAAAGTGCTGGCTTTTCACTCCCAAAGTGATTACAGGCATGAGTCACCACACCTGGCCTATTTATTTATTTATTTGTTTATTTATTTATTTATTTTTTGAGAGGAAATATTTACCTAAGGATAGCTATCATCTGCCTTTCATTTCTGTGACTCTAAAAATAAAGGCATTAAATCATTAGACATTTAGTGAGTATAAGCTCAAATTTGATCACATCTCAATGCCAATCGATTTAAATAACATTTCTAGTAATTAGACATATTTTTGGTATCCTATAATGTGAATTTTTAAAAATACTTTTATTGTTTTAGGTGCAGAGTGATTTGGAAGCAAAAGTCAATTCTGTTACAGAATTACTTAGTAAATTACAGGAGACTGATAAACACCTGCAACGTGTTACAGAGCAGCAAACAAGCATTCAGAGTAAACAAGAGAAACTACATTGTCATGATCATGAAAAGCAAATGAATGTGTTTATGGAGCAGCACATAAGGCATCTTGAAAAATTACAACAACAACAAATAGATATTCAGGTATCTGTAATAAAGCCAGTACAGATTCTGTAATCTTTTATCATTTGGCTCTCTCAGCTAATATTCATTGATAATTGCAGTAGCTTGTTAGATTGTAACAGTTTTAGTTCTGAAATCATGATTTGCTTATCTTTCTTCTCCTGTACTGTGGGTAACTCTGCATTTTATATCTCAAATGTTACTAGTTGTGTGAGACCTCTCCCTCTAGTTGGCTTTTCCTCCTCCTACACTATTTTTGTTTATATCATTTTTATTTTTTATTTTTATTTATTTTTTGAGATGGAATCTTGCTATGGTTGCCCAGGCTGAAGTACAGTGGTGCAGTCTCCACTCAACTGGTTTCAAGAGATTCTCCTGCCTCAGCCTCCCATGTAGCTGGGATTACAGGCGCACACCACCACGCCCAGCTAATTTTTGTATTTTTAGTAAAGGTGGGGTTTCACTATGTTGTTCAGGCTGGTCTCGAACTTCTGACCTCAAGTGATCTTCCTTCCTCGGCCTCCCAAAGTGCTAGTGTTACATGCGTGAGCTGCCATACGCAGCCACATTTTTAAGTGCTTATATCACATTGCAACTATTGGTTTACATCAGCAGTTTTTAGTCTGGGAATGTGCACTAGAATTACTTGAACAGCTTTATAAAAATATTTGTGCTTGGGATCTTGGCAGGCCAAGCTAAGAGGATAGCTTGAGGCCAAGAGTCCAAGATCAGCCTGGTTAATGTAGCAAGACCTCATCTCTTAAAAAAAAAAAAAAAATTTAGCCTGGCATGGTGGCATGTGCCTGTAGTCCCAGATACTTGAGAGGCTGAGACTGCAGGAGACCATGAGTCCAGGAGTTTGCAGTTGCAGTGAACTATGATAATATATCTGCACTTCATCCCAGATGATAGAGTGAGACCTTATTTCAAAAAAAAAAAAATTGTGTATATACACACACACGCGCGCACACACACATACATATTCACAAGCACACACACTTAGGCCTTTCAGAGATTTTGACCTAGTGATTCTGAGGTAGTGTCTGGCAATCATTGAAAGCTTCATAATGATTCTGATGCACACCCTTGGATAAGAACTACCTGGTGTACATATTTGCTTTTGCATTTAATTAATTAAAATAATGAACATTTTTTAATGCCTTTTGAGAATAAGGCACTGGGCTATTATAAAAAGCGTTATCCTCACAAGGAGCTGATAGCATACTTTCGTATTTATTTTGGAATTTCTTTTTTTTTCTTTTTCTTTTTTTTGAGACGGAGTCTAACTCTGTCGCCCAGGCTGGAGTGCAGTGGTGTGATTTCGGCTCACTGCAATCTCCACCTCCCAGGTTCAGTGATTTTCATGTTTCAGCTTCCCGAGTAGCTGAGATTGCCGGCCTGCGCCACCACACCTAGCTAATTTTTGTATTTTCAGTAGAAACAGATTTTTACTGTGTTGGCCAGACCACTGGCCTCAAGTGATCCACCCATCTTGGCCTCCCATAGTGCTGGAATTACGGACGTGAGCCACCGTGCTCAGCCTATTTTGGAATTTCTAATTCCTAGAACACTACTTAGCACTCAGTAAACTTTTTTTTTTTTTTTTTTTTTTTTTTGAGTGAGTGAGGGAATGATCAGCATTGTAAATGTGTTGGTTTTAATTTACTTTTTTTTCTAATTAATATGAAATTTCTTTTTTTTTTTTTTGAGATGGAGTTTCGCTCTTGTCGCCCAAGCTGGAGTGCAGTGGTGAGATCTCAGTTCATTGCAACCTCCACCTCCCAGATTCAAGCGATTCTCTTGCCTCAGCCTCCTGAATAGCTGGGATTACAGATGCCCACCACCATGCCCAGCTAGCTTTCTATATTTTTAGTTGAGATGGGGTTTCACCATATTGGCCAGGTTGGTCTCAAACTCCTGACCTCAGGCGATCTGCCTGCCTTGGCCTCCCAAAGTGCTGGGATTACAGGCGTGAGTCACCGTGCCTGGCCTACTGTGCAATTTAAAACCTTTAAAAAATTAAAATATAACATTCAGGCTGGGCACGGTGGCTCATCCCTATAATCCCAGCACTTTGGGCAGCTGAGGTGGGTGGATCACTTGAGGTCAGGAGTTCAAGACCAGCCTGGCCAACATGGTGAAACCTTGGCTCTACCAAAGATACAAAAAATTAGCTGGGCATGGTGGCACATGCCTGTAGTCCCAGCTACTCAGGAGGCTGAGGCAGGAGAATCACTTGAACCTGGAAGGCGGAGGTTGCAGTGAGTTGAGATTGTGCCACTGTACTCCAGCCTGGGTGACAGAGCGAGACTCTGTCTTAACAACAATAACAACAGTGACGAATATATATTTATTGTATATCTATATACATGTATATCTATACATATATGTATATGTCTATTAATGATTTTCTAAATTATATATTTTTTGTTAAGACAAAAATTCAGAAGAATATACTAAAATAAGTTTATACTTAATATATCATCATAAAGTAGACATTAATTTGCTCTAATTTTCAAGACTTAACACAGTTTATCTTGAGCTTTTCATGTGGTCAAAGATAATATTTTATTGGAATGATTATATGCATACCAAGTAAAGTTTAGTAAGTACTCCCTGCATGACTAAAATTGAGTATGCAGCAAATTATCTAGTGAGAGACCAGGAATGAGTCTATAAATTATCTGTTAGTTTATAGATAACTTTACTATTTTAAGCCTCAATTTCTTTACCTAGAAAATATTTTCTGTTGTTCAGGATAAAACGAGATGATACATTTGAAAAGCACATTGATTCCTTAAGGAGAGACTCCTACTAGTCCTAAGTACTTATCTGCCATCATCCGTCCTTCCATAACTAAATCTATAACTTAATGACTTTCTAATTTTAGAAGAACAGAATCTTTGCTAATTTAGATGTCTTATTTATAAAGCTTATAATTACAGAGAGAGTTGAAGTTTTGGTTACATACTAGATATATTAGTTGTTCAGTAAATGCTTAATGAAATGAAATTAGTTGAGTCTGTTTCATCTGTTTTATGTAGAGGGATCTCAACACACTTTTAGAAATTCTGTAGAACTATGAATCTTTTTAAGTTTTTCTTGGCCTGGCATAAAATTCTGTTTGGATTATTACTCATTGCATGCCTGTATCAAAATATTTCATGTGCTCCATAAATATATACACCTACTATGTACCCACAAAAATTAAAACAATAAAACCCTCTCTTTTGAAACCAGTTTTATTAGTTAAGATACTTGCTTATTTTAGATATTTTATTTTATTTTTGAGATAGAGTCTCGCTCTGTCACCCAGGCTGGAGTGTAGTGACACCATCTCGGCTTACTGCCACCTCCGTGTCCCGGGTTCAAGTGATTCTCATGCCTCAGCCTCCTGGGTAGCTGGGATTACAGGCTCCCGCCACCACGCTCAGCTGATTTTTGTATTTTTAGGAGAGACGGGTGGAACTCCTGACCTCAGGTGATCCACTTGCCTTGGCCTCCCAAAGTGCTGGGATTACAGGCGTGAGCCACTGTGCCTGGCCCCATTTCAGGTATTTTAATAAATAGTGCTGAAAACTGTGTTGTCACTGTAGTTTCCATTTATATACAAACACATATTTTATTGCTGCTGCTAAGCATGGATATTTATTTGAGTACTCACTATCAATGATTTTCAAACCTTGACCTCGAACAAAATCCTACCATTTAGGATATAGAAGATAGGATGTTTTGGTTTAAAATTCTCTGATTCAAGTAGAGGTTTAGGGCAAGGGCCTCTCCTTCCTGGTCTTCTCTTAGCCGGCTGTAGTGGCCCCTGAGCCATGTCTAAGGTAGAAAGAACAACACTGAGGTTTAGAATGGTTAGGGAAAATGATTAAGGTCACACAGCAGAGTCAGGCTTAGTCACATCTTTGTGATTCTACATCTTTCCAATGGCATCGCTGCTGCTACTATAGTGGATAGTTGCAATGTAATATATATTTTTTCATTGTTTATTAAATGTAGTAAATTATGTTTAACTCTAATATTTCAATGTATTTTATCATCTAACTCTTTCAAATGATATCTGAAAATAATAAAATAATCTTATTTCTTTTAGACGCATTTTATTAGTGCTGCACTCAAGACTAGTAGTTTTCAGCCTGTTAGTATGCCCTCCTCCAGAGCTGTGGAAAAGTATTCTGTAAAACCAGAACATTCTAATCTTGGTAGCTGTAATGCATCTTTATATAACACATTTGCTTCCAAACAAGGTAAAAATATGTAGTTCTCTATGAATAAAAAATGTCAGCTATGAATTTTCTTTGTGCTGCATAAACTGAAAACATATTTCCTGAGCAGTAGGAGTTTTTGTTTTATAAAATTTATTTATAGGAGTTTTTGTTTTATAAAACTATTTGGTGTTTTTTTTTAATGTTCTTTTTTTAAAAATTTTCTTTCTCAGGCTACCTTGTCTTAGATAAAACGAGTTCTTTTTTTTGTCAAGTAATTTTTAGGTTATTTTGAAATTTTTTAAAATTATGGATTATGTTCTTATCTGTGGTTTTAATTAATAACCTTCATAAATTATCAGAAGCACTTATAAATTTAGGAAAAATTTACTTGTTTACTATAAAAATGCTTGTAAATAAATCAATTCTCCTGTTCTCTGACAAACTGCATATTTGCTCTTTCTTGATTCTGTCAGAGTGACTACCTAACAAAGGAATACATAGCTTATTTGTTAAAACTTTAGTATTTAAAATAAATTAATAAATGTGTTTCTAAGTTATTGATATTTGAATAATGAACTAAAGAAAATCGAGGGACTATCCCTTTAATGATATACAACTCTATATAGTACAATATTTTCAACACTTGATTTGTTAGAACATTGTTGTATTACAGTCATTAAAGATTGCTCATGCTTATAAGGTGCTTTACATTTTGCAGTAAATGAGTGGTCCTTACAAAACTGTTGTGCCCAGCACATTGAGAGGCCAGGATGAGAGGATCACTTGAGCCCAGGAGTTCGAGACCAACCTGGGAAATATAGTGAGATCCTGTCTCTAAAAGTAAAAATAAAAAAATTAGCCAGGTGTGGTAGCACATGCCTGTAGTCCTAGTTACTTCGGAGGCTGAGGTCAGAGGATTGCCTGAGCCCAGGAGGTTGAGGCTTCAGTGAGCTGTGGTCATGCAACTACACTCCAACCTGGGTGACAGAGCAAGACGCTGTTTCAAAAACAAAAAAGCAAACAACAACAACAAAGAACTGTTGTGAAGTAATATGAGTCCATTTTTAAGTTATGAAGAGAGGACAATGAAGCACAGAATGGTATGACTTGCCTGCTCAAGGTAAGTCATACCATTCTGTGCTTCATTGTTAACAACAACAACAAAGAACTGTTGTGAAGTAATATGAGTCCTTTTTTAAGTTATGAAGAGAGGACAATGAAGCATAGAATGATATGACTTGCCTGCTCAAGGTTACCTGACATGAGCGGGAGGATGTCAGAGCTAGGGCCAGAACTCATGTTTCAGTATGACCCAGCTGAGTGCCTTCAATAGCAGTGGACACTTTTTTCATAACTCACTTCCAGAGAATTTCTTGCTTATAATTTTGTTTTTCTTAAACTCGAGTTTTCATGAAAAAGGTGTCTGTTTTATTGTTTGTAAATTGAATTTGTTTCTTTGTATATATGTTACAGTAATAAATAAAAGAAGTAAATTAAAAATTCAGTAAATTAAACTGTTAATTTTTCTATGCTTTTTCTTGGGCATATATCATGTTTACATAATTGTAACTGTAGCATTTTATACAGCTTTTTTACTAGTACATAAAAACATCTGCCATATTTTATATAGTTGTCTTCATAATTTTAACTTGTAATGACTAAAGGGTAGCCTATTGAATAACTATTTCACAGTCTACTTGACCGTTATCCGGTTTCAGATACTCAGACAGTTTTTAGGTTTGCGTCTTCATAAATAATACTGTAATAAACATCATCATATTTTAAGCACATTTTCTTTTATGTTATTTCCTTATAATAATTTCACAAGATTAAGATTACTAAGTTAAATTATATAAAACTTTAATTCTTCCTATACTTTTTGCCACAGTGAAAAGTATCTGGCTATTCCTGTTTCATCACTGCTTCAATAGTTCTGAATATTATCATATAGATTCATATTTACTAGATGTAAGTGTAAAATGTTTGTAGTCTTCATTTCTTTTGATTTTTAATGGGGTGAAGTTATTTCTCTACACTTGTTAATAATTTATAATTTATAATTTTGGCTTTATTTTTAAAGTATAGGGAAGAGTAATATGCTATAATTTTTAGAGCTTTTTAAAAGCAAGTTAATTTTTAAAAAAATTTTCTGTTAAAGCATCTTTAAAAGAAGTTGAAGATACGAGTTTTGATAAACAGAAATCTCCTTTGGAGACACCAGCACCTCGCAGATTTGCTCCTGTACCTGTTTCAAGGGATGATGAACTATCAAAGAGGGAAAATCTTTTGGAAGAAAAGGAAAATATGGAAGTGTCCTGTCACAGAGGTAATAGAGACTTTTACTAGACCTATCCCAAATTAGGAAATTGTCATGAGATTTTCTGTGCCTAGTAGAAACTGAAGTGGGATCTGTATTTGTAGTATTTTACTTTAAATGATACTTGCTGGGAAAATCAAGCTTCTTTAGATTCCTTGTGAAAGGAGTTGGAGGTATACATTTATAATTAATTATTCTATCTCTTACAGGTTATTACTTAAACTTTTAATTAACAAGTTTTGTTAATTTTTATTTATTTTTTGTGAGACAGGGTCTCACTCTGTCACCCAGACTGGAGTACAATGGTGTGATCATGGCTCACTGCAGCCTCTACCTCCCCGGGCTCAATTGATCTTCCCACTTCAGCCTCCTGAGTAGCTGGGACTACAGGTGCACGCCACCACACCAGGCTAATTTTTGTATTTTTCTTAGAGATGGGGTTTCACTATGTTTCCCACGCTGGTCACAAACTCCTGGGCTCAAGCGATCTACCCACCTCAGCCTCCCAAAGTGCTGGGATTACAGATGTGAGCCATTGCGCTTGGCCAAGTTTTGTTATTAATAAACAAAAAACAATGCTTTACTGAAGGTAAGGCTGATCATTTTTAGAGTGTGCTTCCTCATACTGTTTTTAGGTGTGAATTTCAATAATAAAACGTAGAGAAACAACATCTATCACCATGTTCACTTGGAAAAAGTGCTAATATATGAACTTTTTTTGAGACGAAGTCTCTCTGTCACCCAGCCTGGTGTGCAGTGGCACGATCTCGACTTGCTGCAACCTCCGCCTCCTAGGGTCAAGCAGTTCTCCTGCCTCAGCCTCCTGAGTAGCTGGGACTACAGGCGCATGTCACCATACCAGGCTAATTTTTTGTATTTTTAGTAGAGACAGGATTTCACCGTGTTAGCCAGCATGGTCTCGATCTCCTGACCTTGTGATCCGCCCACCTTGGCCTCCCAAAGTGCTGGGATTATAGGCGTGAGCCACTGTGCCCGGCCATATATGAACTTTTTAACACAGAACAGGAACTTTTATAAGGGACGTGTATTAACCAAACATCATATATTCTCACTCATAAATGGGAGCTAAGCTATGAGAATGCAGAGCCATAGGAATGATACAATGGACTTTGGGGACTTGTGGGGAAAGGGTGGGAAAGGGGTGAGGGATAAAAGACTACACATTGGGTTCAGTGTATACTGCTCAGATGATGGGTGCACCAAAATCTCACAAATCACCAATAAAGAACTTACTTATGTAACCAAATACCACCTGTTCCCCAAAAATCTATGGAAATAAATTAAAAGAAAATAGTATATTACAGTCTTAAAATGTACCCCTTCTAACAAAAGTAAGTGAAATATTAAACTAAACACTTTTATTCTTGGAATCATTTAAATGCATGCAAGTCTTAGGCACATTTAAAGAATTTTAAGAAAGTCACAAAGTGATAAAATCTTTAATAAAGAAGGCAACCTTACACCAAAAATTACTATGTAGTCTTACTACATACAAACAAGGCTAAAGGATAGATCCACTTAATTCGTACTTTGAAGAAATAGGTAAATCTCTTCTTTACTAATTTATAAAAATCATCTATTTTGCTGGACTTTGTGATGATGACACTTCTCAAATTCCTTTTTTCTGTGATGGAAATAAATTTAGGGGTTTTTCTATTAATTCAAACTTTTACTTACTTGTTTATGTATTTTTCTTTATAGAGACAGGGTCTTGCTTTGTTGCCCAGGCTGGTCTCAAACTCCTGGCCTCAAGCAATCCTCCTGCCTCGGCCTCCCAGAATGCTGGGATTACAGGCATGAGCCATTGCGCCTGGTTGCGGTATAGTTTTTATGAGGTATAAATATTTAGTTTTATTTGATGAGTATATTTATAGCCTAAATTGTAGGCTACATTGTAGGCTATAATTTTTTTTTTTTTTTTTTTTTTGAGATGGAGTTTCACTCTTGTTGCCCAGGCTGAAGTGTGATGGCACGATCTCGGCTCACTGCAACCTCCGCATCCCAGGTTCAAGCAATTCTCCTGCCTCAGCCTCCCAAGTAGCTGAGATTACAGGCACGCACCACCACGCCCAGCTAATTTTTTCTATTTTTAGTAGAGACGGGTTTCTCCATGTTAGTCAGGCTGGTCTCAAACTCCTGACCTCAGGTGATCCACCCACCTCAGCCTCCCAAAGTGCTGTGATTACAGGCGTGAGCCACCACGCCCAGCTTGTAGGCTATAAACTGAGTAGATAATCATCATAGGAAGCTAACTTAGGCCAGAATACGAATATATGAGATGTTATATACAAGATAAATGAATTAGTATTTGGAAAATGATACTACATCTCTTCTATTTCAGGAAATGTAAGACTATTGGAACAAATTTTGAATAATAATGATTCTTTGACAAGAAAAAGTGAATCATCAAATACCACCTCACTAACTAGGTCAAAAATAGGATGGACTCCTGAGAAGACAAACAGGTGAAAACAAGAGATTGGAATGAAAACTAGATTGAAAAGAGCTTTGTTCAGATTTTTTACATTTCTTTGGGACTTTTAATAAATTATAGCATTGCTTCTTAAATTTAACTTAGATTTAGTTACTATTTTCTGATGCTAATATATCTTCCCACTTTCTATAATATAGCTATGAAATGAATATCTCATTTTTTCAAAATGCAGATTATTGATTTCTAATGTATGCAGATTATTCATTTCTGATTAAATGATATCTAGGATTTGTTTCAAAAAATAATCCAATATAGGGTAGGGGCAAGTAGGTTGGGGAGTATAGATAAAATGAGGTCAACCAAAAGTTAATGATTTTTGTAGTTAAATATTGGGTATATGAGGTTCATTTTAGTATTTTCTATATATTTGTGTATATTTGAAATTTTACAGAATAAAAAGTTTTTAAAAAATCAAATCTGGGCCATGATAATTATATTTATCTTCAACATCTTGAAAACTACAGTAATAAAAACTAGAGGAGCCATATGTTGAGTAATTTTGTATGGAGATATTGTATAATTTCAGTCTATTTAATGTAATCACTGATAAGGTAGGATTTATGTCTACCATGTTGCTTTCTATATGCCTTAGGTCTTTTAGGTTCACTGTTCCTCCCTTAGTGCCTTCTTTTGTATTGGACATTTTTTAGTTGCACCATTTTAATTCTTTTGTCATTTACTATTATTTTTTGAGTTATTTTCTTAGTGGTCACTCTAGGAATTACAATTAACATATTAACTTAAAGCAATCTAATTTGGATTGATAGTGATTTAATTTCAGTATTATTCAGAAACTTTGCTCCTGTAAAGCCTCGTTCCCTCCCCTTTTCTTTCTTCTATTATTATCATACAAATTACATCTTTATACATTATAAGCTCATCTATGTAGTCTGATAATTATTACTTGATGCAGCTGTCTTTTAAATCAGATAGGAAAAGAAAAGAGATACCAACAAAAATATGTATACTAGCTTTTATATTCACCTATATAGTTCATCTTTACCAGTACTCTATTTCTTCATATGGATTCAGGTTAGCCTGGTGTCCTTTTATTCCACCCTGAAGGACTCCTGATAGTATTTCTTATAGGGTAGGTCTGTTAGCAGTGAATTGTCTCAGTTTTTGTTTATCTGGTATTGTCTTAATTTTTTTTTTCACTTTTTTTTGTTGTTTAAACAGACATTTGGTTTCTCATAGTTGTGGAAGCTGGAAGTTCAAGATCAAGGTGCTAGCTGGGTTGGTTTCTTTTGAGGCCTTTCTTCTTGACTTACAGGTGGCCTCCCTCTTGCTGTCTCTTCACATGGTCATCCCTCTCTGCACACACACCCCTGGTGTCCCCTCCTTCACTTTTGAAGGATAGTTTTGCTACATGTAGAATTTTTGGTAGATGTTCTTTTTCTTTCAGCATTTTGAATATGTCACCTGACTGCCTTCTGGACTCTATGGTTTCTGATGAGGAGTTGTATGTTGGTGTGCTTGATGGTGTCCCACAGGTCTCTAAGACTTAATTTTTCTTCCATTTTTCTTTCCATTTCTCAGACTGGATAATCTCAATTAGCCTGTCTTAAAGTTTGTTGATTCTTTCTTCTGCCAACTCAAATATGGTGTTGAGCCCCTCTAGTGAATTATACATTTCGGTTATTGTATTTTTCAGCTGCAGAATTTCTGTTTGTCTTTTAAAAAATATTTTCTGTGTCTTTATTGATCATTCTATATTTGGCAAGACTTCATTCTTATACTTTCTTTTAATTTTAAAACTGGTTTCTTTTAGTAATAGCTGATTTATAGTCTTTGCCTAGTAAGTCTCATATCTGGGATTCCTCAACAGTGGTTTCTTTTGACTGTGCTTTTTTCTGTGTTTGGGCTCTACTTTCCTGTTTCTTTGTATGTCTCATAAATCTTTGTTGAAAACGGCATTTTAAATAATACAGTGTGGCAGCTCTGGAAATTAGATTCTTTCACCTCCCAGAGTTTATTGTTGTTGCTGTTTGTTTAGTGACTTTCCTGGACTAATTCTGTGAAGTCTGTGTTCTTTGTCATGTGCTCCCACTGAAGTCTCTGTTTTGTTAGCTTAGTCTGCTAATGATTGGAAAGAGATTTCCTTAACTGCCTTGAACTGATAACTCTCCCTCTCTTTGCCATGGAGTGTGTGTGTGTGTGTGTGTGTATATGCATGCACGCCGCGCACACACATGTGCTAGAGCATGCCTCCAGTGCCTGGCAGATTATGAGTCTGTTTTAGCCTTTCACTTCCTACTTGCACAGAGCCTCAAGGTCAGCCAGAAGTGAGTGATTAGGAACTTCCCAGGTCTCTCTTGGACATGTACATAGCCCTGTATGTGGACTAGAAGGCATGACTTTCTAGATTCCTAGCAATACGTTGGAGCTTTTCAAAACTCCACTATGGACATCTTATTACCTAGATTTTTAACATCTGTTGACCAGTCTTGTTTGCCCCAACCAGTATCACTACCTCAGGCTGCTGAGATGTTAAACAGTTGCCACTGTTTTTGAAAAATGCCCTGGGGATAGTTTCTCACTGCGCTAAAGTTGAGTAAGGTCAAATAAAGACAAATACTATGAATGAGACTTTTAGGAGAGCTTGAAACCATTCTATTGTCTTTAGTGGTTGTGAGGCTGTTGGTTTTCAAGGCCACCACAGAGTTGGGAATAGGGTCCTGAAGATGAGGCAAGTTAAAAAAATTCCATAAAACTTGCTTTTCTTGCCTAGAGTCAGCCATTTTTCTTGAATAAATGCTCCTCAGGTTCTTGCAAGTGTTTAATTTCCAGAGGTTAGAAAAACTTGATTTCGATGATTTTTGCTAGGGTTCTCATTGTGCTTATGGAGAAGCAGATTTTCAGAAGTTCTTCACCAATCTGGAAGTGCTTCTGGATGTTAGCTTCTTGAAAGCATAACCTTTTCCTCTTCCTTTTCTGCTACGTCTAAACTTTTCTGGTTAGATCATTTTGTCTCTTGTGATTTTTTGTTTCATTTGTTTAATCACGTAACTGATTAATTCCATGGTTCAATTTTTTAATAGGATACCATTTAGTAATCTGTAGCTAAGACTGTATCAAAGATTTGTGTAATAAAATGTTTACTGAATTTACAACAATTTAGGAAACTTTTAAAAAAAATCTTCTATAGCGTTGAAACTCTACATTCTCAAAGATTTCCTTCCTGTGAAGAGCTAGGAACAACTAAAGTGACTCTACAGAAGTCTGATGATGTTCTTCATGACCTTGGCCAAAAGGAGAAAGAAACAAATAGCATGGTCCAGGTAAAATGGGAATGGTCTTAAAATTGATGATTAGTTAAGATAAAAATTAAAAAGGAATAAAAAAGTTATAAAGATAGAAATTAGGAGGAAGGATGAAGAAAAAGCACTGAAAAAGACATGTCAGCCATGTCTGTTCCATTTATAAAGTATTTCCAGAGGCCTTCACCAAGTGATTTCTGCTTATCGCTCCTTGACCAGGACTGAGTCATATAGCCACTTCTGGCTTCCCAGCTTCTGTTGGAAAGGGAGGAAGGGGAAAAGAGACCTGTAAATGAATGGACATCATTTATCCAATCCACAGTGTCTGCCCTACCTTCCATACATAAAGAGCCAACTTGCTTTTATTTTATTTTAGCTTTCTTCAGCAGAGAGAGAAATTATTATTGGTTGCTGGACTGCTTAGCACTGCTATGGATTTCCCACCTCTATTTTACTTAACACTCACATTAGTTTGTTGTTGAGACGTAGTCTCACTCTGTTGCCCAGACTGGAGTGCAATGGTGCAATCTCGGCTTACTGCAACCTCCATCTCCCGGGTTCAAGCACTTCTTCTGCCTCAGCCTCCTGAGCAGCTGGGATTACAAGCGTGTGCTACCACACCCGGCTAATTTTTGTATTTTTAGTAGAGACAGGGTTTCACCATGTTGGCCAGGCTGGTCTCAAACTCCTGACCTCAGGTGATCCACCTGAGGAGTCCTTGGCCTCCCAAAAGTGTTGGGATTACAGGTGTGAGCCACCACGCCTGGCCCATATTAATATTTCTAAATGGAGGAAAAACACTTTGATTGCCAAGTATTCTTTTGTAAGTCTTCAGTTTGACAAATTGAGTCCTTAGTATATATTGGTATAATGTATGGTCTCAACAATAGTGATAGCTGTTTTTTTGATTAAAGGAATCAACGTGAGTTTAGTAACTTTCTGGTCTTTTTTTCTTTTAAGCCAAAAGAATCTCTGAGTATGTTGAAGCTTCCAGATCTTCCACAGAATTCTGTTAAGCTTCCCACAACCAATACAACACGATCTGTATTGAAAGATGCTGAGAAGATTTTGAGAGGAGTACAAAACAATAAAAAAGTACTTGAAGAAAACCTGGAAGCTATTATTCGTGCAAAAGATGGAGCTGCCATGTATTCGCTTATTAATGCTTTATCTACCAACAGGTAAGAGGATGTTGGCAGCCAAGGCTATTTATGAGTCTGCCAGTTCTGCTTTCTTCACAATTTTTTTCAAAGCACTTTGTTTTCCTTAATATGTTTTAATATTTTTAAAAGGTGCTTTATTGCCTTCGAAGATGTGGAACTTATTATAAAGTTGGAATTTGGATATATATATGGTGGTACTACTTTTTTCTGGTGGAAATTTTTCTTTTGATTTTTTCTTTCTTTGGTACACATCTTCTTGGGTCCACATGTGCTTTTCAAACATTTATCCTTCAAATGTTTGATGAAAACTAATACCATTGGTTTTTCCTTTGCAGATGAAGGATGTTCGGCCCCCATCCTACTATCCTAATATCCTTTCCTTTTCAGATGAAGGATATTAGGATAGCAGGTTCACAACTACATAAGAGTTAGATCTGATCCAAGTCCTGCTCAGGACAGTAAGTGCTAATTTAAGAAAATTCATTTTTCTCTTTCGTAGAGAGATGTCAGAGAAAATCAGGATCAGAAAGACAGTGGATGAATGGATTAAAACTATCTCTGTGGAAATTCAGGTATGTCTTGGAAAAAAACTGAAAATTAAGTGAATTCTCAGAAGATAATATTGATTCCAATTTATAGGCATTACATTTGTTCTCAAAATATTTCTTATATAAAAATCTACTTATTTTTAATTTCACTGTCACTCTTTATATTTACTTAGTAATAAGTTTAGCTTTGTTTAACAAGTACATTATCTTCAATTATATTCTGGCTCTTATTTGGCAAATTGTTGGACAAAAACTAAAACGTGAATAATCTGAAAGAAAATTAAGCAAAAGTGTTTGGAAAAAGAATTATATTTTCAAAGATATTTGAAAACAACAGATTTAGAAGCATTGGCCTGGCAAAGTAAAAATACCAGAGTAATGCAAAGAGAAAAATAACAGCTAGATTTACTAAGTTTACAGAAGTCAATACCAGATGGAAAAACTGCCTCTTTCTCACATCCACAATGGGCATGGTACATCTTCAAACATCCGCATTGAAAAAGTCTGGGAGTTATCTTTCTTAGAGGGTCCATAATGTAGAGGAAATTTAAAATATTTTTATATTTGAGTGAGCAGAACTAGACAGGCTAAGCTGTTATTTTGTCCTGGAGTGCAAGGTGTGTTTTTTTGACCGTGAATGTGCTTATATGCTACTTACAATGGTAGCAAGGTGAATTATCAGTACTGTTTCCACAGCAATAAACACAGAAATATATTTTAAAACCTTGTTGTTTAAAAATATATATTTCTAATGAACTTATGAAAAATTTATTTTAGGTACTATGTGGTACACACAAAAAAGTTGAACTAAGAGTCAGAAGATTTGGAGTCTAGTTTGCACTCTATAGCTAGCTGGCAATGTATCTTACTCTTTTGCCACGAATCCCATGTAAAATGTATTTGTTTAAACTTTCACATAATTTTAATTTATATTTATCTCAGAGTTTTGGTACAAAATTGTTTGCCTTTTTTAAAACGTATTTTTAATTTTTTAAACTGTTAGCAAAATTCATATGGTTCAATCATCAAAAAGTGTAAAAAGGTTTGTCATGCAAAGTTGTCCTCTTACCCCTGCAACCCTTCTATTATTTCCATTCCCTGCTCCAAAAGATACTAGTATTTTTAGGGTTTTGTTTATTTTTCCAGAGAATTTTTATTTTTATATATCCAATAAAGCCAATATCCTTTATTTTTAACACATTTAAAACTGCTAAACTGTATTTATAAAACAGCAAAAAATAAATTATTATAGTTTCTGATGTGAAAGCATTACTATTTGTATGTATTTTAAGTAATTTTAACTTTGGTTATGTTAAGGATGAACTGTCAAGAACAGATTATGAACAAAAAAGATTTGATCAGAAGAATCAGAGAACTAAGAAAGGTCAGAATATGACTAAAGATATTAGAACCAACACACAAGATAAAACTGTAAACAAATCTGTAATTCCAAGAAAACATTCTCAAAAGCAAATAGAAGAGCATTTTAGAAATCTACCTACAAGGGGCATGCCTACTTCAAGTTTACAGAAAGAGAGAAAGGAAGTAAGATCCTAATCTATTCTTTTAACATAATTATTGTGTTATAATCAATCATTTCCTTTAAGAGATAAATAATGAAGCGAATGTTAAAGGTGTTTTAAAAACATGAAGAACTATACAAATGTAAGTATCTTTACACTATTGATATTTAGGGTTTTGGATTTATGATGTGAAAAGCACTGAACAAAATAGATAGTTCCTTTCTTCTGAGATCTCACACCCTAACATCATCATTTTGTAGTTATAGCAAGTATAAAGGTATATCTAGAGATCATCTAGTCCAAAAAGTAGATTCTCTAGTTTATGGTACCCAAAATTGTGTTTCATTTGTGTGTGTGTGTGTGTGTGTGTGTGTGTGTGTGTGTAGTTTATGTTTCAGTTTAACAAATGCATGTTGAGTGCCTAGTATATGCAAGGCATGGTACTAGATGGTATGGAGGAAATTTTTTTGACTGCCCTAGGCTATAAGTTTCTAAGTGCCAAACATGGATTTTTGAGCAGATCAGTAAAGCATCTAATTCAATGCTTGGTACTTAGTAGATGCTCAGTAAATGCTACCTTTCTGTGACATTTAGATTATGGTTGAAGGTGGATTCAGAAATATATAAAATTATTTAAAGGTTAAGGTTACCGTATTTTTATTGTACTGGAGTAAATATGTAAAATGTGTTTAAATGTTTCTTATTGGTGCTGAAAATATACTTAGTAATGTAAAAATTTTCATGTTTCTTAGGTGGATGATTTTTGTATTTAAAGCTTTTCAAACTAATGCTTGAAACCTGTATCTAGAATTTAAGGGCTGTTTAAAATAGAGGTTATGTTTGACCTAATCATTCTTATTATAATACTTAAGCTAGCAAAAAGAGGCTTTAGAAAAATGAGATAAGTGTTTGATGACTATTTTCATGGTGAGTTGAATAACTTTTACACATAGGGGCTTTTGAAAGCAACCACAGTAATACAAGATGAAGATTATATGTTACAAGTCTATGGAAAGCCAGTTTATCAGGGCCATCGAAGCACTCTTAAAAAAGGACCATATCTCAGATTTAATTCTCCATCTCCTAAGTCCAAACCACAGAGACCAAAAGTAATAGAACGAGTTAAAGGTAAGGAATCTCATTTTCTATGTTTAATCTCATTTCTTAATAGTATCAGTTTAATATATAAAGTTTCTTTTCGTTTTTTATATTTATAGCTTATACTTGCCGTTCAAATTATATAATGCTTGGGGATGGAAAAATAGTTCCTCTTTGGAGAGGTGGGAAGAAATACACCAACATTTAAAAATCAGACACAACATAGGTATAATTGGGAAGAAATGTAGAATTAAATGGCATCTTCAGATAAAGCATCATAAAATTTTTATTTAGGAGAAAATGATTTTTTTTTCTTTTTTAAAGACAGGGTCTCACTCTATCCCCCAGGCTGGAGTGCAGTGGCACAATCATGGTTCATTGCAGCCTCAACTTACTGGACTCAAGCGATCCTCCCTCCTCAGCCTCCCAAGTAGCTGGGATGACAGACGCACACTACCACGCCTGGCTAATTGTTTTGTATTTTTTGTAGAGACAGGGTTTTGCCGCATTGCCCGGGCTGGGTGATGATGAATCTTGAGCATCTAAATTATAATCTAGGAAAGGAGACATTTCCCTGAAGACCTTGGTCCATTATGAACAGAAAGATCAACCATATACTGTTTATTATCGTAAAAGTATTGATGAACATTTTTGCAGTTTTGTTTGTTTTCAAAGAAACTTAGGTAGAAAGGTGAAAACTGTTTTGCTTTCATGCACAACTGAAAACATCTTCATTTATCACTGTGTGTTTTGAGTCACATCTACTGATTCACTGGTACTGTATATTTAAATACAACTCTTGGTTATATACTAAGTCTGTTGACTTTGGTTATGTATTATAGTTTCTCAGCTTCTACTTGGCAATCAGTAAGCTAAAGCTGACAATATGTGATAACTAGTAGATACAAACCCGTTTTCCTCTCTTAGCCTTTCTAGAAGTTGGAGCTCTGGTGGTTACTTTGGTTCCCTTTCCTTTCTAAAGGTTATGCGATCATATAGAGTGTTAGGTTATATAGAAATTTTACTAATTTAAAATAGAAAGCATATAGCTTATGGGTGATATTTATCCTAATGGATGATATTTACCCTAAAGTTTTCTCTTATTTAGTGTAGCTTTGCTTTTCTTTTTTTTTGGATGGAGTCTTGCTCTGTCATCCGGGCTGGAGTGCAGTGGCACGATCTTGGCTCACTGCAACTTCCACCTCCCAGGTTCAGATGATTCTCTTGCCTCAGCCTCCCGAGTAGCTGGGGTTACAGGCATGCGCCATGACACCCAACAAATCTTTTTTTGTATTTTTATTAGAGACAGGATTTCGCCATGTTGGCCAGGCTGGTCTTGAACTCTTTACTTCAGGTGATCCACCCGCCTCAGCCTCCCAGAGTGCTGGGATTACAGGCGTGAGCAAACCGTGCCCGGCCTAGTGTAGCTTTGCTATTAATTTATATGTGGGGTTTTGAAAGTCTTTGCAAAAAATAATTTGAGGTTTTAAAATGCTTTCACATCCAAAAATAACTTTATTCAGTAACCCTTTTAATGATCAGAAGTGATTGAGTGCGTGTATTAGTTCATTTTCACACTGCTATAAAGAACTACCTGAGACTGGGTAATTTATAAAGACAAGAAGGTAGAATTGACTCACAGTTCCACATCTCTGGGGAGGCCTCAGGAAACTTACAGTAATGGCAAAGGGAAGCAAGGCACATCTTACATGGCAGCAGGGGAGAGGGAGCAAAGGAAGCCATGCTCTTTTAAACTATCAGATCTCATGATAACTCACTCTCTATCACAATAAGAAATTAGGGGAAACTGCCCCCATGATCTAGTCGTCTCCCACCAGGTCTCTCCCGTGACACATGGGGATCAATTTGAGATGAGATTTGGGTAGGGACACAGAGCCAAGCCATACCAGAACCTAGGGACTTATGCTCATCCTAGGGCCTCAGTCCCTCTTTTTTCCTCCGTCTGGAGAGCTCTTCGTTCAGGCACTTGCGTGGTTCTCCCTCTCAATTCTTCCGTCTCTGCTCTTAGATGATAGCTCCTTGGAGAGCTCTACCCTGACCATTCTATTCTAAGAATTATCTTCTGTTCCTCTTTATCTCCTCACCCTGCCATATTGTTCTTCATAGCACTTCACACTTCCTGTGTTATATTTTTGTTTATTTGTTTGATTTATTATTTATTTATTTGTCACTACTAGACTATAAGCTCTATGAGTACAGTTGGTTTAGTCACCTCTGTATTCGTTGTGCCTGAAACAATGTTTAACACATATTAGATGCTGAACAAACATTTTAAATACTCAAGAAAAATATTCATTCAATAGAATGAATGAGTATCAGAGAACAAGATGAAAGAATATAGACATGGTATGACAATTTTTCTTCCTGGGATCATAAACAAAAGGAAACTATATTTAAAAGTCTGGGTGTGTAGGTTGGGCACAGTGGCTCATGCCTGTATTCCCAGCACTTTGGGAGGCTGAGGCAGGAAGATTGCTTGAGACTCGGTGTTCAAGACCAGCCTCAGCAACATAGCTAGATCCTGTCTCTACAATAAGTTAAAAAAATTAGCCGGGCATGCCTGTAGTCCCAGCTACTTGGGAGGCTGAGGTGGGATGATTGCTTCAGCACTTGAGCTTAGGAGTTCAAGTTTGCAGTGAGCTATGATAGTGTCACTGTACTCCAGCCTGGGCAACTGAGCAAGATCCTGTCTCTAAAAAACAATTAGATACATAAAAACACCCACACGTGAAGTGGAAGCATAGATGACGGTCTGAGACATCACCACCAACCTGGGCACTGGGGAGATGGCGAAGACTGACCCCAAGACCTTGCAGGACCTCACCTCGGTGGTATAGACACCCCTGCAGCAGATGCAAGATAAATTTCAGACTATGTCTGACCAGATCATTGGGAGAATTGATGATATGAGTAGTCACATTGGTGATCTGGAGAAGAACATCACAGACCCCATGACACAGGCTGGGGTGGAAGAACTGGAAGGTGAAAACAAGATACCTACCACACACAAGAGTTGAGAGTTGTTAATAATTTATAATGGAATCTGGAATATCATTTTTCTGATCCAAGAGAAGATTGAATGACTTTTTTCAGCTAACTACTGTGTGTAGACCGATTTTATATTATAAAGCATACATTCTTATCACATACTATATAGTTAGTTTATAGAGCAGTTTACCCACCACTTTCTTGAATGTGGTATCTTCACATCTTGGACCTTGGTCAGTTGTGCTATTAATTATTAAACACTAAAACTTTGGCAGTTCCTGCATTTTTTTTTTTTTTTAAAAGCACCCACATGTTAAAAGTAAAAATGTAATGTTAGGAAATTATTTAGAAAATATTTTAGCCTCTTTTCCTGTGCCCTTTTACTTTATTCTTTATTTTGTGTGTGTGTATGTGTTCCATAGACACTTACCCACTTCTCCAAAGAGAAATAAAATCAAATTTTTGTTTTTTTTAAGATTTAGGATATAATGACTATATGTGTATGTATAAATCATAGGAACAGAAAAAAAAATGTACAGTAGTCCCCCTTATTCATGGGAGATATGTTCCAATACCCTCAGTGGATGCCTAAAACTGTGGATAGTACCAAGCTCTAACATGTACTATGTTCTTTTAATCTGACAACTGAGACGGCAACTAAGTTATTAATGGGCAGGTAGTGTCTACAGTGTAGAGACCCTGGACAAAGGGATGATTCATGTCCTGGGCAGGATGGAGCAGGATGGCATGAGATTTTATGTGCTACTCAGAACAGTGTACACTGTAAAACTTATGACTTAGCCAGGTGTGGTGGCGCGCATCTGTGGTCTCAGCTACTCGGGAGGCTAGGGTGGCAAGATCACTTGAGCCTGGGAGGCAGAGGTTGCATTGAGCTGAGATCGCACCACTGTACTCCAGCCTGGGTGGAGTGAGACTCCATCTAAAAAAATAATAATAAATAATTTTTAAAAACTTATGAATTGTTTATTTCTCGAATTTTCCATTTAATATTTTCCAGCCAAGGTTGACCCTGGGTAACTGAGACAGGGAAAGAGAAACCACAGATAAGGAGAGACTACTGTATAATGATATTAGTAAGGTTTAAGTAAGTATAGAATCCAATTATCTGTACATATTTTAAAAGGATAAAAGCTGGTTATTCAGAATTATGTTGTGTGTAAAGGTGTAATGAGAAAATGAAAATCATCAATTCCAAAAATGATTGTTAACTTTTTCGTACCTTTGGAAAAAAATTTAAAGAATTCAAACGTTGTTGGAATATTCTTCAGAATCTTTAAAATTTTTTTCTAGTTATTGTATCTATTTTGTCATAGTAGCTGTACAAGTTGTATATCTATTCAGGAGCTGGCAACTGTGGCCTACACGTGAGCTGCCTGTTTTTATAAAGTTTCATTTGCCTCTAACTGTGTTCATTCATGTATATATTGTCCATGGCTTCTTTCATGATACAACAGCAGAACTGAGTCATTACAGCTGAGATCACGTGGCTTGCCAGACAGATATTTACTACCTGACCATTTAAGAAGTTTGCCACCTCTAGCCTATATATTACTTCTGTTTTGGGGCCTTGAAACCTTCTATATAGAATTAAGATTTTTCTGTGAAGAGCTGTTGTATTTCTAGATGTCTGAATAGTAGATATTCTAACAATATTTTAAAATATCTGCCATTGGTGATTATTTTAGGCACTAAGGTAAAGTCAATAAGAACACAGACTGACTCCTATGCAACGAAACCTATGAAGATAGATTCTAAAATGAAACATTCCGTTCCTATGTTACCTCATGGCGATCAGCAGTATTTGTTCAGCCCAAGTAGAGAAATGCCTACTTTTTCAGGTACACTGGAAGGTCATCTGATTCCTATGGCAATTCTTTTAGGTAAGAATCAACAAAATATGTGGGATGAATTTTATTTTATTTATTTATTTGTTTGTTTGTTTGTTTATTTATTAGAGACGGGGTTTCGCTATGTGGCTCAGGCTGGTCTGGAACTCCTGGACTCAAGCAATCCGCCCACCTCAACCTCTCAAAGTGCTGGGATTACAGGCATGAGCCACCATGCCCAGCCAGTGAATTTAAAATTCTTATCAGCAGTAGCAGAACTTACAAAATGGTACTAACATGATAGTCATCTACCTTTTCCTGTAAATGTTATTTGTTGTTTGGGGGAGGGCCTCAGAATATGTTTTATGCTGTGTAATAGCAATCTCTGAAATGATGGGTTCCTGCTATAGTTTCATCAACAGGAAAAATTCTTTTGGTGTGTTATAGTATATTATTGTAGATGAAATGAAATTTTAAACAATGTTTTGGCTGGGCACAGTGGCTCATGCCTTTAATCACAGTACTTTGGGAAGCTGAGATGGGAGGACTGCTTGAGACCAGGAGTTTGAGACCAGCCCGGGCAACATAGCAAGACCTTGTCTCAAAAAAAAAAAAAAAAGCTGGGCTTGGTGGCTCACACCTGTAGTGCTAGCTACTCTGGAGGCTGAAGCAGGAGAATCCCTTCAGCCCAGGAGTTTGAGGCTACAGTGAGTGATGATTATGCCACCGTACTCCAGCCTGGACAACAGAACAAGACCCTGTCTCTTAAAAAAAAAAAAAGTTAAATATGTCATGGACATTCATAATAATTCAAGAAGTTTGATTGTCTTGTTAATATCATTATGTCTTTGGGGAAGTATTAAGGTACTTTTTTTTGGTACTTTTGAACTAGGCTATCATAAGTGAAAGCTGTGTGGGTGTGTAATCTAAGCCAATAGTTGTTTGTTTACTTACTTGCCTTCTCTCTGAGTCATCATGTTAAAAATTGAACAGATCATTTTTGTCCTCACACCAGCTCTTCAAGTCTAATTAGCTGTTTTTCCCCTTTAGTGTTATTGCTGTTCTTTTGTTTTGATTAACAATAAGTATGAATATTTTTTAACATAAGAGAATTTTTTATTTTTGATATTATGGGTTAATGGCATGTCAACATAATAGCTCTCTGTTTAAACATATATTCTAGTAATAAAATAGCTAACACTTTTAAAGTCCTTACTGTGTGCCAGGTACAGTTCTGAGCATTTTACATATATTCTTTCATTTAATCCACCCTATAAAGCACTTGGTAATATACAAATTGTATACCTAAGGAAACTGAAGCACAAAAGGTTTACATACTTTGTCAAAGGCCACACAGCTAGAGTGGTGCCAGGATTCTAACCCAGGCAGAGACAGTCTGGCTTTATAATCTGTGTTTTCAACAAGTACACTGTACTACCCCTCTTTACTTTGATGTGTAGAAAACAAATGGGACTTTGGAAGTGAAAGTTGTTGACATTTTAAAATGTGGATAATATTAATAGCTTTCTATTAGCCTTTATTTTGAGGATTAAATTAGATAGTGATGTGAAGTGTTTAGTACGTATAAGTGCCTAATAAAAGTCACTGGGTATGGTGAGTATGTCGACAATGCTGATGATGGAGGGAGAGGTGATTGTCAGATAGGGCTTTTTTTAATATGAGAATATAGCCATTAAGATCCAGCTGGTGTATTAGACTTTTCCCTTTTTTTCTGAACTAGTTGACTTATTTTTTCCCCTAAACTTCTTAGGACAAACCCAAAGTAATAGTGATACCATGCCACCTGCTGGAGTGATTGTCAGCAAGCCACACCCTGTAACTGTGACTACTTCTATTCCTCCATCATCTCGAAAAGTAGAAACTGGAGTAAAGAAACCTAACATAGCTGTTGTAGAAATGAAGTCAGAAAAAAAGGATCCTCCTCAGCTTACTGTACAGGTATGCCAGGGTGCATGAGTAGAAAATTTTAAGGAAGAAAAAATTTTTTTGCTTAATGTTAGTACAGAAATCCATTATATTACTTCATGAAAATATTGCTTTTTATCATGGCTCCTTTTATTTTAAAATTTATTTTTATTTTTTAGACAGAGTTTCGCTCTTGTCCCCCAGGCTGGAGGGCAATGGTGCAGTCTCGGCTCACTGCAACCTCTGCCTCCTGAGTTCAAGTGATTCTCCTGCCTCAGCCTCACGAGTAGCTGGGATTACAGGTGCCTGCCACCACGCCCGGCTAATTTTTTTGTATTTTTTTTCTGTAGAGATGTGGTTTCACAGGTTAGCCAGGCTTGTCTCAAACTCCTGACCTCAGGTGACCCACCTGCCTTGGCCTCCCAAAGTGCTGGGATTACAGACATGAGCCACTGTGCCCAGCCAGCTCTATTATTTTTTAAACTCTAATATTAATGTGATGTTTCTATCCTGTTTTGCATGATTTAAGCTGCTCTTCTAGGCCAATGACTTATATACAAGTGGCTTGATGATATTCCAAAGGGAACAATTTAACCGTGTATTATAATTAATTTTAAAAAGTTAATATATGTGACTTATATAATTAATACTTCAAACTTTACACTAGCATATGTTAGAGGATTTGAATGAATGCAAGACTTAAACAGCCTCATGTGGGAAGAAACCCTTTGACATTTCACATTCAAACATCTACCCTTCAGCCTGGGATCCAACTGTAGAAGCTGAGGTCTTCACCAGGTCTGGACAAAAATGAACAGGAGTGTTTACATGTGACTTTCTATTGACCAGTCAGGAGGCAACTGTAGGAAAGTGTTCATGAACTATGGTAAACTTTTTGGCTGATTTACTCCAACCCCTGTGTTCATCTTACCATCCTTGCTTACTTACAATTAATTAGAACACTCCAGTCCTTAGACTGCTCCTGGGTTCCTCTTGTGATTGAGCCAGGACAAATGAGTTTTCTTGGGCAACTTAGTATGCCCTCTGAGAAGAGAGAAGACTTGCCTCATTCTTGGATCCTGACCGCTGAGGAGAAGATAATCCTGGAGCTGTCAGATACCACCACATGAACAGTCAACAGCCTCTTAGTACTGATTTTTGACTGGACACTCCTCCCCGAACAAACGAACCATCCATTTCTTCTGCACAAATTTATACAGAACAACCTCAACCCACCAGCTTGAGAGATTCCCAGGGACTTAGAAATCGCCCATGTAGCTCCACAAACACTTCATTCTCATAGAGTGACTTCTGCCCTGCAGCTAAAATTGACAGTGTGTTTTCACAGCCAAGTTGTTAGGGCTGAGGCAGCCAGTGGGTCTCAGGAAGATTCCTGGCCCTGTGCTTGAGAGGAGCAAACGCACAATAAAGCCCTGGCCTGGAGCAGAACCTTTCAACTCCCAGTCATTTTTGCAGGGCAGGGAACTCCCAACATGAACCCAAATGTGTTCCTCGCTTCCAGCAGTCTTTGGGCATCCTTCTGACAGTGTAGGCTCACTAACCCAGTGGTGTAGCAGCTATGGAGGCTTTGGGAGACCTGGGGACACTTTAACCTGGACAGCAACCTGAGCCAAGTGCAAACCCAGTCAATGTGTATTGAATGAAGGAGCATCACTAACACAGTCAGTTCATGGAGGAAATTAAAGGATCTAGATCGGGGGAAAAAAATCCTAAATTAAAAGGCAAACAACACACAGTAAGAACATATGAAAGGGAGATGCTAGTAAAGCATTCATTTTTAAATATAAAGATCTCCATAAATTAATAAGAAAACACAGATCCAAGTCTAGAAATGTTCAAAGGACATGAATAAGACTCTACAAAAGAGGAAGTACAGTTTATCAGCAAGCAAACTAAATAAATTTTGCCAGTAACCAAGATAATGCAAATTAAAATAACAGTAATATGCATCCATTTAAAAACTGTTATTGCTGAAACAATCATATTATCTAATTTTGGTGAGGGTTGGATAAAACTTGGAATTAATTATGTTTTTGATGATATAAATAGAGGTTGTTAGGATTACATTTCACCAGTACTTCCAAGAAGCTTCAGTATTCGTGTCCTGTGGCCCAGAAAGTTAATCCAATATCTGGCTATCTAACATAGTGAATTAATTTAGAGTTTAGAGTTTAGAAAGAAAATTGTGTGTGTGTGTTTTTCTAGTGATATAGATATATAAAATAGTGAAAAAATTGGAAATTTCCTAAATTTTTCTAATTGAAACATAATTAAATAATTAAGACATGTTTGTTGAAATGTTATATAGTCATTTAAAAATATAATTATGAAGTCTATACAAAAGCATGATAAGTGTTTATGGTTCTTCATTGTAATCACAATGAAAAATCAAGAATGAAAACTATTTTAAATTTTAGTTATATATAAGTAGATAGTAAAAGACAAAGGGAATAGTGAAAATGAAGTTATCTTCAGATAGAATTTTGTGTTTTCCTTTTTTTCATATTTTATAAAATATGCTTTCATAATTTAAAAGTTTTGTTATCCATTGGCTTCACAATAAAATCTTAAAGGGCATGCTTTGTTTTTATGTATATGTATATATACACACACACATACTTGTACATTTGAGTAAAAATGATAAACAGAAAACTGAATGTTGTATTCTGTTTTAGGTATTACCCAGTGTAGATATTGACAGCATTTCAAATGGTAGCACTGATGTCGGTTCACCTCTGTCTAGTCCCAAAGAAGCATCTCTTCCTCCTGTGCAAACTTGGATAAAGGTATATTTCACAATTTTATATTATTTTGAGTAATGTAATATCTGACTGTAGATTTTAGCTAATGTTACTCCATTTAAAGCCTTTTGTCATAATGATAACATTATAATAATTTATATTTTGAGGGAAAGATTCAAAACAATTTTTTTTTTTTTTTTTTTAGACAGAGTCTTGCTCTGTTGCCCAGTCTAGAGTGCAGTGGTGAGATCTCGGCTCACTGCAACCTCCACCTCCTGGGTTTAACCAATTCTTCTGCCTCAGAGCTGGTATTACAGGTGCCCACCACCACGCCCAGCTCATTTTTGTATTTTTAGTAGAGATAGGGTTTGACCATGTTGGCCAGGCTGGTCTTGAACTCCTGACTTCAAGTGATCCCTCTACCTCGGCCTCCCAAGTTCTGGGATTACAGGCGTGAGCCACCACACCAGCCCAAAACAAATTTTGAGTTGTTTATGAACTTGTTTGTTTCAGATCCTTACATTTGTAACTATTTGGAAAGTAATAATCTTTAGTGTAAACTTTTTGGTAATTTAAGTTGTGAAACTCTCATGTGAAGAAAGAATTTCTGTCTCTTTGATGATGAATCTTTGATTTACATGGGAATTATAGATTTTCTAAGTGTGAATTTTATAGTGACAGGTGGAGTTTATATTTTGGAATGTTACCTTGTTATCCTACTGTTGACATGATACAAAAATACGCATTTCTTTCTGGTATTTATTTGCTTTTGAATAATGAAGTTATGGCTTTACTACACAGCAAAATAGCACTGTAACTTACCCCAGGTAAGTTTATTTATTTTATTTGTTTATTGTAAGCAAATTTGGCCGAGGATACAGTTTTAAAAGGAGAGAGAACACCAGCAATCTTTCATGATCACAAGTAATGAAATGGAACTGACCCTAAGTGACATTTGTGCTTAATTGAATTTTTTCATCAGTAATTTTTTTAGCCTTCTGTTTATTGAAACTTCTGTGATAACAAGTAATAAATTTTTAGACTGTTTATCATTCTGCTCTCAGTAAGAGGCTATTGCATGAGTACATTTTATATAATGAGGCCTAAAGGTTAGATTTGTAAAATGACTATTTTGGTTTTTTTTCCTGAATTATTTGATTCTGTATCTGTCTTCGTGTGAGTTTGTGTTTGTTTATACTTAGATATCTACACGTGTAAACACTTTTCTTTATCTCAATTCTAGAAGAGAAGTCTCAATTATATCAACCTGTTGACCAATTAAGTGATATTGCTGATGGAGTCCTTTACAGAAAAACAGCTGATTAATTTTTTAAAGCTATTGAAATGTTGACCTAATGGCTTGGGGACTAGCTTGGATTTCATTTACTAATTAAATCAATTCTGAATAGGGCATTAAAACGATAAAAAAAGGACCATGTAATTATAAGCTTATACTATAGGTGGAAATATGATAAATTACTTATAAATTTTAAAAGTGTTAAGCACAACAACCACTTTCTGAAAATGCTTTCTTAGACTCCAGAAATTATGAAGGTAGATGAAGAAGAGGTGAAGTTTCCAGGAACTAACTTTGATGAAATAATCGATGTCATACAGGTAACAAAGCTTAGAAACCATGAGAAATTATTTTTCTACCAGTATTTTTCCAGGTTGTTGACTATCTTTGAACTATCAATATCATGTTACAGTGCTTTGAGATACTTTTACTTTTGAGTTAAATATACTTTTATTTTAAAAATTATAAAGTTGTTATTCTAGAATGTCTTTCGTGTATATCACCTATCTGCCTTCATGAAGCTTCATGATTATCTGCCGTTTCCCACCTATATTTTGTCTATCTAGTTTCTTGTTTGCTTCTTTCTTTCCACTTCCTTTGGCTTCTTTTCCTCTAATTTGTCTTTTTTTTCATTCTATTACGTTTATCTATTTTGATTTTTGGATTTGTGGTGAAGTGGCCAGTTAATTAATATTGAGGGAAAAAAGTTGTGAGGAATCTGCAATCCAAAGGAATATCCCATATGGAAGAAAGAGTTATAGAAATGATAGAAATAATGAAACAGAGGGAAAAATAGGCAGAAGTAAATTAAAAAGGATGGGAGAAAAGATCATAGAACATTGAAACTTTGACTATTATGTCAGTAGACTTTAAAAAAGACATTTGATCATGTTTCTTTGACTTTTAGAGCTAAGATCAGTTTTGTTAATCATAAAATGAAATCCAATTTTAGAATATGCAGAGGTGTGCAGTATATTAATGTTATTTGCTCACCGATGTATCTTTTCTTATGTGAGTACCACATGAGAATTTTGAAGGCAGGGACCTTATTCATTTTTATATTCCTAATGCCTAGCAAAGGTACTTGGTAATTGTTTATGCAATATACAAGTGAAAGAAACGGTTATAGAAGTAGCAGAGGATTTAGCATTCAAAGACAAGTGTTCCTGTAGTAGCTCTGCCATTTATTAGCTGTGGACTTCATTTTTCAATGGAATAATATTACTGAGTTGTAGTATTTAGAGAGACCCAAAGTGTTTTTGATTGAATTATTTATAGATAAAATGATGTGATATCTGTGATTTGCTTCAAAATGATATGTGAAGGGGAAAGTGGCTAGATGAGACAAGATTGACCATAAGTTGATAATTGTTAAAGTTGGGGAGCAGATAAATGCAATTCATGTTATTTATGTAACAGATACAGTACATGGACACTGTTTACTTTTAAACACATGTGATATATTTTGTAATAAAAAATTTAACAATTCCAGAAATAACTCTATTGATTATGATGTGGTAATGCAAATAATTTGTAAGATGACTGACCTAATTGCATATTTAAATGTAAATTGTAAGTTATATAAGAGCAAATAGTGATTTTGGTAGTGTATTAGTCCATTTTGCATTGTTGTAAAGGAATTACTGGGTAATTTATAAAGAAAAGAGATTTAAGGCCAGGCGCAGTGGCTCATGCCTGTAATCCCAGTACTTTGGGAGGCCGAGGCAGGTGGATTACCTGAGGTCAGGAGTTCAGGACCAGCCTGGCCAACATGGTGAAACCCCGTCTCTACCAAAAAATGCAAAAATTAGCCGGGCATAGTGGTGGGCGCCTGTCATCCCAGCATCTTGGGAGGCCAAGACAGGGGAATTGCTTGAACACAGGAGGTAGAGGTTGCAGTGAGCTGAGATCGTACCATTGGACTCCAGCCTGGGTGACAAGAGTGAAACTATGTCTTAAAAAAAAAAAAAAAAGTGAAGAGATTTAATTGGCTCATGGCTCTGCAGGCTGTAAAAGAAGCATGGTGCCAGCAACTACTTCTGGTCAGGACCTCAGGAAGCTTTTACTCAGGTCGAAGGCTGTGAGGGTCCAGATGTGTCACAAAGCAACAGAGGGAGCAAGAGAGAGGGGAGGATGTGCCAGTCTCCTTTAAACAACCAGCTCTCTCACAAACTAACTTATTACCATGGGGAGGGCACCAAGCAATTCATGAGAGATCAGCCCCCATGACCCAAGCACCGCCCACCAGGCCCCATCTCCAACACTGGGGATCACACTTCAGCATGAGATTTGGAGGGGACAAATATCCAAACCATATCAGGAAGCATCAGTTTTTTAATGATAATTATTAAGTTCATACATTTCTTGAGAGAAGTAATAGTGTTTTATGCAGGAATACTTACGTTTTCTAGTTTATTTTATGATTGCATAAAATGAATATTGGATTCTAAAAAGACAAACTGATTGTGTAATTAAGGGTTCCTCAATATGATATGTCTGACTAATGTGTATATTATAATTAATGTGATACCACCTAATTAGAAATGCTGTTGGTTAACTTCGAAGTGTTTCTTAATTCACCTAGTTCCTTGCCTATAGTTGGTACTCAGTAAATGTTGAACAAATACATGAATATAATAGTTTTGGTTTTGTTACTATCAGGAAGAGGAAAAATGTGATGAAATTCCAGACTCTGAACCAATTCTGGAGTTTAACAGAAGTGTTAAAGCTGATTCTACAAAATATAATGGTCCTCCATTTCCGCCAGTTGCTTCTACTTTTCAGCCCACTGCCAATATTCTGGATAAAGTAATTGAGAGAAAAGAAACATTGGAAAATAGCTTAATTCAATGGTAAGTTTACAATGTTTTTGGTATGAATAGAACCATAGTAGCAAATATAAATGGAAAGTATTAAATTGGGGCTGGAAGTATTCCTTGTCTTCTTTTGTTTATTAAACTTTCTTTGCTTTAGTCACTGGAAAGTGTTTGATATAATGCTGGGGGCTTAACTATTGTTGGAGATACTGTTTTTGTCCTTGAATATTTGTACTCGGTCTGTCTACTCTGGCAAAGTAGACTATTAGGAAACCTTAAAAAATGTACATTTCTTTAATCCAGTGATTCATTTCCAGAAACTTATCCTAAGGAAGTAATTATGGTTTGCTACTAGGCCAGGGATCCCCAACCCCAGGGCCACGAACCAGTACCGGTCTGTGGCCTGTCAGGAACTAGGGAACTAAGCTGCACAGCAGGAGGTGAGCAGCGGGTGGGTGAGCATTACCACCTGAGCTCCACCTCCTGTCAGATCAGCCGTGGCATTAGATTTTATAGAAGCACAAACCCTATTGTGAACTGTGCATGCGAGGGTTCTAGGTTGCATGCTCCCTATGAGAATCTAATGCCTGATGATCTGAGCTGAAACAGTTTCATCCCAAATCCATGCCCCCACCCCCTACCCCACCACCCCTGCCCTGGTCTGTGGAAAAATTGTCTTCCACAAAACCAATCCCTGATGCCAAAAAGGTTGGGACTGCTATACTAGGCCATATAATACCTAGCACTACAAAAAAGGCACTGTTCAGGTTTGTTACATTCTGATAACAACAGTTGTAATATGTTACTGTTGTTACGTATTACAATAACAATTGTAACTTGTTACATATGAATATGAAATGAACTCTATTATTTGTATTTTTACTTGTAAGAAACCTTAAGGAAGTTATGGAATAGGTAAAACGGCTAAATATTAATATAATTATGAAAATTAGGTTTAGAATAAATTTAGTGATATAAAAAGATATTAATAATGTACTGGCATATAAACGAAGCAGAATACTAACAATGTAACCCCAGTTTACAAGATCTTACTCAAAAGTAAGTATATAGCCGGTGCAGTGGCTCACGCCTGTAATCCCAGCACTTCAAGAGGCCAAGGTGAGTGGGTCACCTGAGGTCAGGAGTTCGAGACCAGCCTGACCAACATGGTGAAACCCCGTCACTACTGAAAAAAAAAAATACAAAAATTAGACAGGTGCAATGGCACACACCTGTGGTCTCAGCTACTCACGATACTGAGACAGGAGAACCGCTTGAACCTGGGAGGTGGAGGTTGCAGTGAGCTGAGACTGCGCCACTGCACTCCAGACTGGGTGAAAGAGTGAGACTCTGTCTCAAAACAAAGCAAAACAAAACAAAAAAGGGTGCATAAAACAAAAGTTTGATAAAGCGTATGTACTAAATTGACTGTGTTTATCCCTGAACCTAGGATTATAGGCAAGCTTTATCCATTTTTTAAACTCTTAGATATTTTCTAAATTTTCTACAATGAACACCTATTATTTATATAATAATTTTTAAGAAATCTATTAGTTGCACTAAAGACATGTTCTAGAAGTCTCCTGTTCCCCTTTTCCTTCCTGAAGATGACCTTGGAAATAGATTTTTTCTTTACATTTTAAGAGGAAAACTACCTATAATATAGCCTATATGTGTATTGCCTTGAAGAGAGGGCAGCTAGACTTCTTTTCTAGCTCTGATCTTACATGGTTTTTATGTGTGCGCTCAGAGTGGAAATCAAACAGTTTAAGTACATGATATGCCACATAGTCATTGGTCCAAGTCTTATTTTGAGTTTAGGAGTTCCTTTAAGCTTTTCATTAGACTAATCTGGAAGATTTTTAATTTGATTTCATAAACTATCTCCCACAAGGAGATTCTGTTTACTGTGGTTTATCTTCTTCAGAGGCATTTTTTTGTTTGTTTGTTTGTTTTTTGAGGCAGAGTCTCACTCTATTGCCTAGGCTGTAGTGCAGTGGTGTGATCATGGCTCACTGCAGCCTCGACCTCCTGGGCTCAAGCCATCCTCCCACCTCAGCCTCCTGAGCAGCTGGGACTACAGACATGTACCACCATGCCTAGCTAATTTTTGTATTTTTTGTAGAGGCAGTGTTTTGCCCTGTTTCCCAGGATGGTCTTGAACTCCTGAGCTCAAGCAATCTGCCCAACCTGGCCTCCCAAAGTGCTGAGATTACAGGTGTGCGCCATGATGTCCAGCCCATTTTATTTTTTTTTCTTCTAGATTTAACTTTCAGAATGACTGCTTTCATGCCAACATGTTTGTGACATTGATAAAGGTTATTTTTAAGGGTGGTATGTCTGACATTTTTTACATTTCAATCAAATTGAGGAATCTTAACTTTTATCTACCCCACCATCCCCTCAGGGTAGAGCAAGAAATAATGTCAAGAATTATCTCTGGGCTCTTTCCAATCCAGCAACAGATTGCACCTAATATCAGTGTTTCAGTCAGTGAGACAAGTGAACCACTGACTTCTGACATTGGTAAGTGAAATGGAATCTTTTTTGTTTTTATTAGAAGACAAAAGCTTTAGTTCATTGTGGATTTATATATTCCAGAGGTCAAGTAAATTCTCCAGTAACAAAAAGTAAGTTCTTCTAACCTTACTTCCTAGTACTTCTTTGGTGATGGTTAGTTCTCTCTCATCCTCTTATTTCATATTGCAGCTTTCAGATTATTAAACCACTCTTCATACCTCCCACCCCAAATCTCTGTTATCCCCATAGTACTTTGTACATATTTTTGTTATAGTAATTATCAGATTATATTAAAGTTGGTTTCCATATCTGTCTCACCCTTTAGATTATAAATTACTTAGGATTTAAGGATGTTTCTCCTTTTGTGCCTAGTCCTTGCCTGAAACCCAACAAGAGTTTAATTATTCATTGAATGGTTAAAATGAACCTTTCTTTATGGAGCCTATGCCATTCTTTTTTTCCTTCCCTCCTTCCCTCTTCTTCTCCCCCTTTCTCTTCTCCATTTTTTTCTTTTCTTCCTCTTCTTTTTCTCCTTCCCCCTTTTCCTTTTTTTCTCCCCCTTCTCTTCCCCATTTTCTTCTCTTCCTCTTCTTTTTCTCTTTCCCCCTTTCCCTCTTCTTCTCCCCATTCTCTTCCCCATTTTTTCCTTCTCCCTCTTCCTCATATTTTTCTTCCTTTCCACCTCCTTCTTGTTTTTTTTGAGGTAAGTTTACTTGCCATAAAAGTCACCACTTCTAAGTGTACAGTTTGACAAGTTGTTTGTTTGTTTTAATTAGAGCCAGGGTCTCCTTCTGTCATCTAGGCTAGAGCCTGGACTGCAGTGACATGATCATAACCCACTGTATATCCTGTAACTCCTGGGCTCAAGCAGCTCTCCTGCCTCAGCCTCCCAAGTAATTAGGACCATAGGTATGCACCACCATGCCCACCTAAAAATAATTTTGGGGCCAGGCACAGTGGCTCATGCCTGTAATCCCAGCACTTTGGGAGGCCAAGGAGGGCAGATCACCTGAGGTGAGGAGTTCAAGATTAGCCTGGCCAATATGGTGAAATCCTGTCTCTATGAAAAATACAAAAATCAGCTGGGTATGGTGGCACACACCTATAATTCCAGCTACTCCGGAAGCTGAGACAGGAGGTGGAGGTTGCAGTGAGCCAAGATCACGTCACTGCACTCCAGCCTGGGCAATAAAGCGAGACTCTATCTCAGTCAGTCAGTCAGTACATTTTGTAGAGATGGGGTCTTGCTATATTGCCCAGGCTAATCTCAAACTCCTGGCCTTAAGTGGCCCTCCTGCCTCAGCGTCCCAAAGCACTGGGATTACAAGAGTGAGTAACTGCACCTGGCCCAGTTTGACAAGTTTTGAAAAGTTCACACAGCTATATATTAGCCACATAATCATGAGATAGAAACACATTTCTGTCTTCTCCAAAAGCTTCGTTATGCTATTTTGCAGTCAATTCCTAAACCTCACTCATGCCCACTGGCCTCAAACAACACTTACCTGCTTTCTATTACTGTATTTTTACCTTTTCTAGAATTTCATACATATGTAATCATGCAATATGTAGCCTGTTGTTGGCTAGCTTCTTTTATTAGCACAATATTTTGACAATCATGCTATTGCATGTAGTAATACTATAATGTATAGATATACCATAATTTGTCAATCCATTTACCATCATCAATTATGAATTGATGGACATTCATAGTCTTTTCAGTTTTTGGCTATTATGAATAAAGCTGCTATGAACATTTGTAAGCAAATGTTTGTGTAGAAATCTTTTAATTTTGCTTGGTCATATGAGAAGTAAATGTTTAACTTTATAAGAAACTGCTAAACATTTCCAAAAGTGGGTGTACTATTTTGCATTCCACCTAGCAGTGTATGTAACTTTAGTTGCTCCACATCCACCCCAACACTTGGTGACTTGGTGTTGTCAGTGTTTATAACTCTAGCCATTTCTGAACATATGTGGAGGTATTTCCCTAACTGTGCTAATAACTGAGTAGTATAATTACTAATGATGTACAACTTTTTAATGTGTTTATTTGCCATCTGTATATTGACTTTGGTGAAATCTTTTTAAATCTTTTGACCATTTTTAAGTTTGAGTTGTGTCTTCATATTACTGAGTATGAAGTTTTTTATCTATTTTGGATACAAGTCCTTTATTGGATATGTTTTGTAAATATTTTCTTCTACTTTGTGTTTTGCCTTTTTGTTTTCTCAGCATTATATTTTGAAGACAAAAAGATTGATTTTGAAGAAGACTAATTTATCAGGTTTTTTTCTAGTAGTTTGTAGGGATTTTTGCATGCTGTTTTTAAAAAACTTTGCTAACCCAAGATCACTAAAATAGTTTCCTATGTTTTCTTCTAGAAGATGTATGGTTTTAGATTACACATTTAGGTTTTAGTTTATTTTGAGTTAAGTTTCATGGTGTGAAGTAAGGATCAAGTTCTTTTTTGTTTGGGTGTTTTTTGACATATGGATATCCAGCTGTTCTAGTATCATTTGTTGAAAAGATTATCCTTACTCCATTGAACTACCTTAACACCTTGGTTGAGCATCAATTGGTTATGTATGTATGTATCTTGTTTTTGGGCTTTGTATCCTATCCCATTCACCTGCAAGTTATACTAATACCATACTTATTGATTACTGTAATTTAATAGTAAGACTTGAAATTGGATAGTGAAAGTTTTTCTAACTTTGTTTTTGTTTTTTTTTTTTCATTCCTGTTTACCGTTATCTCTACTTTTTTTCTTCTTTCCAGCCTCAGGATAAGCTATTCTTTCCCCCTCATAGACTATCCTTTAACAGCCTGAATCCTAGACTTCAGAGTCTATATTCACCACTTTAATTTCTCATTATGCACTTCCTCTTTAATCCTTATGGGTTGGCCTTCTTTTGCCCTCCCCTTCAGGAAACTCCTTTCTCACAGCATTTGCTTGTCAAAAATGCTTCACATCCTTTTTCAAATCCTTGTTTTAGTGGATGGCTCAAGCATGGGCACTATTGACCATCTCTGATTCTTAAACTCTTCTCCTGGTGTTGGCTTCTTAAACTTCATTCTGTTATTCTTCCTCTTGTTTGTTTTTTTTTTTTTAAACTTCTTTAAGACCTTCATTTTCTCATTTTATTTTCTGCTACTTGAATAAATTTATTTCACTAGTTCCCATGCTTTGCCCTCTTTTCTGTTTTTTCCAGTTTCCTCCTGACATTAGTTATCCTGTGTCAGTTGATGAACCCTAAGCCATGTATTTGGGCCGACAACTTGCAGTTCTGCTGGTTGGTGAATATTCTGCTTGATGCTCCCCTGGCATCTCTTCATTAGTATGTCTAAAATGCTTCTCATTTTTGATATCACAATTCTCCTAGCACGCATAATCTCTAAAGCCTTGGAGTTACTATTTGTTCTATTTTCTTTGCTTTACTCTTCTTTATTCCCCACTCAGCCATACCCTGTATCCCAGCTTCATAGAGTTTATTGTTGCATTTGGTTAATTTGTCCTGTTTAGCATAGTTCACATGCCTCCTTCTGGTGTTACTATCCTGGTTTTCTTTATCATCTCATCTTTGAAGGAAGGACAAAAATGAACAACAAATTTATGAGAAAATTGTTTTCCTGGTGAAAATCAGACAATTTACAAATTGGGTATTTAGATCCTGTTTTCTTCCCTGTAAAAGATTTGTGTTTGCTTTTGTTTTGCCAGTGTCTGGGTAGGGATTTTGGGCCTTATAAAAAAGATGTTCTGATTTTTGGCCATGCTCAAAGAATGAATTATGGAAACTAAAAAGGAGATGTATCAACATATATTGTTGAATATAAATTTGGGATTGTGATAGTCTCTGCTATGGTAACTCAAGAGCAAATTGCTGTTACTTACCCCATCAACAAGTGATCCCACTACACTTCTACCCACTTTTTAGGGAATTCTGGATATTGTTACTATAGTTGTATTACTTAAGGAGTACTCTTTGGTGAGGTCACATCTCCATCAGGTTGTACAGATTAGTATCTACTTATTTTCCACATGGAGCTTTATAAATATCACTACTTTAAGTCAAGTAAAGTCTATTCAGGAAGTTTTACTTAATTTGATGTACATTAATGTAAGTGAAAAGTACAACCCATTCAGAAATTAATATACCTATAGGATATATGTTAACAAGCACCTCAGCTGCAGTAGATGTTAATAACTGATGTATCTGAAACTAGAAGGAAGGGAGATTTGCCTTCATATTTAGTGCATTTTTTGTTTTAGTCGAGATCTGTCAGAGTTTCCTGTTGTTATACTCTTGGAAATGTGAGTTGTATTCAGATGAGGGCATTTAATATGCCCATTTTTATCACTAAATTCTATAGTAGTAGAGAAGAGGCCACCTAAGTAAATTTTCATCTCCCTTTTTTTTTATGTACAGAGATTATTTGTTATGTAAGTTGTCCACTTAGTCTTTTTCATAATAAGTAGATATGTTTGTATTTTCATTTTTATTCCTCTTTCCACCCTCCCCCACTCATCTCCATACACATATATTGGCATCTCTAAACTTTTAAGAATGAAAGTTTGATCCAGGCGCGGTGGCTGTCGTCTATAATCCCAGCACTTTGGGAGGCCAAGGCAGGTAGATCGCCTGATGTCAGGAGTTCAAGACCAGCCTGGCCAACACGGCGAAACCCCCATCTCTACTAAAACTACAAAAATTAGCCAGGCATGGTAGCACATGCCTGTAGTCCCAGCTGTTCAGGAGGCTGAGGCAGGAGAATCGCTTGAACCTGGGAGGTGGCAGTTGCAGTGAGCCAAGATCATGTCACTGCACTCCAGCCTGGGTGACAGAGTGAGACTCCATCTCAAGAAAAGTAGTAATAATAATAATAATAATAATAATAATAATAATAATAATGAAAGTTTGAATTGCAAACATGTTTCTTGCCCACTCATTCTGATTTTTTTTTTACTTTTAGTGGAAGGAACAAGCAGTGGCGCCCTCCAGCTTTTTGTTGATGCTGGTGTTCCTGTGAACTCAGACATGATTAACCATTTTGTGAATGAAGCCCTTGCTGAGACCATAGAGGTCATGCTGGGTGACAGAGAAGCAAAGAAGCAAGGTCCTGTTGCTACAGGTGTTTCTGGGGATGCTTCAACAAATGAAACATATTTGCCGGTATGGGGAATTTTGGATGCATTTATTGAAGAATAGTAAAATAGATGAATTTTAAGCCGCATACCGTAAGATCATGGTTTGTGGTAGAAGTATTATCATTTTTAGAGACATGGTCTTTATATATTGCCCTGGCTGGTCTTGAACTTCTGGGCTTAAGTGATCCTCCTGCCTCAGCCTCCTGAGTAGCTGGGATTGCAGGCACCAGCCACCATGCCCAACTTGTGGTAGAATTTTATTCCTTGTTGCTATAATTAAAGTAACATTTCCCCCAGCATTTTATTTTAAAAACTTTTAAATCTATAGAATAGTTGAAAATATGATACAATGAACATCTGTACACCCTTTACCTATACAGTTGTCCATTGGTATACGTGGAGAATTGGCCAGTCCTTGCATACTCAAGTCTCATAGTTGGCCCTGTAAAACTGAAGAATATGAAACATCAGCCCTCTATATATATGCATTTCTTATCTCATGAATACTGTTTTTGATTCACATTTGGTTGAAAATACCAAATTTGTATGATTGGCCTCTCGCAGTTCAAACCTATGTTTTTATTTAGTTACTTATTCAAAGGTCATTCGTATTTGTTTATTGATAATATTTTGGCACACTTATAAAAATCTCTTTATATCTGCTATATATTATATATCCTTTAAAAACCATTTGAAAGTTACAGACATCATGACACTTTACCTCAGAAGCATCAGCAGTATCACCACAGAACAAGTTGCTTTCTTACATAACCAAACATTATCAGACCCCCCAAATTTAACATTGACATGTTAATAATATAGAATATAGAGACCATATTTAGATTTCCCTAATTGTTTCAAAAATATCCTTTATAGTTTTTTTTAAATCAAGATATAGCCAAGGATCATATATTGCTTTGCATTATTATATAAACTGATATTTTTAATCTTTAAAAGAAAATACATTTCAGGAACTTTTATTGCTTGTTTAATCAACCTTATTGTGTTAAAAATAATTTATAATCTATTATATGAAGCCAAAATTTACTCTGTATTACCAGCTATTTAAAACTGTTACTTCATATCCTATAGATCACAAGGACATCATTTTACATACATGAAACATTTAAACATCATTCTATGTATAAACATAAAGTTATATACTGTATTTTACTTTTGTAGAGATTGTTGTGGTATAATGTGATTAGTGTGCCAAAGATTTGATCTGTAGTTTTGATCTGTGCTTTATGAGCTCATTGGGAATATATGCAGTACAGATGTGGTCAGGGTTATGGTTTTTTCTATGCCAATTACTTTGGTTTGCTTTTTGCCTATGTATTGCATATATTTTCAGGAGGGTGATTGGATGAGAAAATGTGGGAAAACCAGGGTAAAGAGCTTGGACTTTGTGGTTGCTAAAACTTGGAATTTGAATTCCAAGCTCCACTACTTTAGTTTTATCTCTGTAATAAAGATAGAATACTTAGTTTAAATGACCATGGCTTTGCCAAAATCTGCTTGCTGAATATCTAGTAGGGCAAGCACTCTCCCAGCCTGCGACTTATCACTCTTTATCTTCAGAATTGTCATGGCTGTTCTTGGCCTTTTAATCTCTTACATATATTTTAAAGTTAGTTCTTAAGTTCTATAAAAAATATTGTTGAGATTTCAGTGGGAATTAAACCAATTTTGACTGGTTTCATTTAAGAAGGATTGACATCTTTATGGTACTGTGTTTTCTTAGCCGAAGTTTTGTGGAAGATTAAGTGAGATGATATATGGACAGAGCTTAATCTAGTGCCTAGAACTTGGTAAATAAATACTCAGTTACTAATAGTTTATCATTTTTATTATCCATTACCAATACTAGAAGAATACCTTCGGATTCTTTAATCATGCAGAGTTATATATATTAAATATAGTGTTATATTTGAAAACAACACTTCCATGCTATATGTTTATGCAGTCAAGAAGAAAAAAAGACATAGTGTACTTCTTTCATTTTAAAATGAAGGCTAAGAGTACACTACTTATTAAGCAATGCTATAGAAATTCTAATATGCTTCATGGTTTTAAATTGCATCTTAATTTGAAACCCATAATACAGAATAAATAAAGTGTAATCACCTTATATAAAGACTTTTTAGAATGAAGAAAAAGTCAAATTATATATTGTATATATTATATATATATATATATATATATTTTTTTTTTTTTTTTGAGACAGAGTTTCGCTCATGTCGCCCAGGCTGGAGTGCAGTGGTACTGGCTCGGCTCACTGCAACTTCTGCCTCCCAGGTTCAAATGATTCTCCTGCCACAGCCTCCTAAGTAGCTGGGATTACGGTTGCCCACCACCACACCCAACTAATTTTTGCATTTTTAGTAGAAGCGAGGTTTCACCATGTTAGCCAGGCGGTCTCGAACTCCTGACCTCGTGATCTACCTGTCTCAGCCTCCAAAAGTGCTGGAATTACAGGCGTGAGCCACCGTGCCTGGCCCAAATAATGTATTTTTAAAGTGGTCAGAGGACAAGAGCAGATAGTTCATACACATAGAAGAAATACAAATCACCCATGTACATATAAAAAGATGAAGATGATCAACCTCATAGATAATAAGAAAACAAGTTATTGAAATTCAATTTTTACTTATCAAATTGGCAAAACTCTAAAAGTTTGATAATTCTGGGGGAAGTTATCATTTTCCTACCTTCTGGTGGTAGTGTAAAATAGTAAAATCCTGTAGCAGGAAATCTGGCAATATCTATTCAAATTAAAAACATAATTAGTTCTTTAATTGAGCAGTCCCACTTCTGGGAACTTAGTCCATAGATATATCCATATATCATACACATGAAATGAGTGAAGTCAAGATTATTTGATAACTCTGAGGAAGGGCTCTAGGTAGAAAGAACAAGAGCAGGAGAGACAATTTTCACTATCCTTTTGTACCTTTTGAAGTTTGAACCATTTGAATGATTACCTATTCAACAAATTAATATTAAATTGTTACATTTTTCCTTCTCCAGTACTTTCCATCTCCCTGCTGTCTTCGCTTCTCCCTAACTCCCACTTTTTCTTATCCTTCCATTACTTTTTATATACTCAATTTTTTGTATGTTCCAAAAGGCTGATTTTTTGTTTGGTATCTCGTCAATCAGTTAAAATGCTTCCTTTCTGTTTTATGCCTTTCTTTCATGTTTGTAATTGGGTTTGATCTTCAACTTTGTCTGTTTAATCTTTCTGTCTTCTTTATTTTTAAAATTTCAGCTTTTATTTTAGATATAGGGGGTACATGTGTAGGACTGTTATATGGATATATTGGACCCAGATAGTGAGCATAGTACCCAAAAGTAGTTTTTCAACCCATTCCCCCCTTCTTCCCTCCTGCCCCCTGCCATCATAGTCCAGTGTCTACTGTTCTCATGTTTATGTCTATGTGTGCTGAATGTTTAGCTCTCACTTATAAGTGAAAACATGTGGTATTTGTTTTTTTCTTCCTCAGTTTTTTCAGGATTATGGCCTCCAGCTCCATCCATGTTGCTGCAAATAACATGATTTTGTTCTTTTTTATGGCTGTGTGGTATTCCATGATGTATGTATACCACATTTTCTTTATTCGGTCCACCATTGATGGGCTCCTAGGTTGACTCCACATCTTTGCTGTTGTGAATAGTGTGGCAATGAACTTACCAGTGCATGTGTCTTTTTGGTATAATGATCCTTGGGGTATATACCCAGTATGGTCTCAAAAGAAGACATACAAGCCGTCAACAAACATATGAAAAAATGCTCATCATCACTAATCATCGGAAAAATGCAAATTAAAACCACAGTGAGATACCATTTCAGTCAGAATGGCTATTATTAAAAAGTCAAAAAAAAAAAAAAAACAGATCGCCATAAATATATACACTGCCTATGTACCCACAAAAATTAAAAATTAAAAATTTTAAAAACAAACTAATAACAACAAAATACAAACCAACAGATGCTAATGAGGCTGCAGAGAAAAGGGAATGTTTATACACTGTTGGTAGGAATGTAAATTACCTCTTCTCTATTTTAAAAGAGGGTGCCTTAGAATTCTGTGGAGACCACTTCAGAGGCAGAGTTATTTCAATTGCCTGCGACTTTCTGCAGGCCAGTTGTAGACTAACAGGTAGAGGTTCAAGAGGTAGGGTACTTAACCCCACCATCAATTTAAATTATATGTAGCCTATGAATGAGTTCATGTTATTATTTCAAATTACTTTTATTTGGGTGATTATAAACACAGTTTATCTTATTGTATTAATTTATTTTAGGCAAGAGTGTGTACCCCACTGGCTACTCCACAGCCTACGCCTCCTTGCTCGCCTTCATCACCTACTAAGGAGTGTGTTTTGGTAAAGACTCCAGATTCTTCTCCCTGTGATTCAGATCATGATATGGCTTTTCCTGTGAAAGAAATATATGCTGAAAAAGGTAGAAACTTTATTTCTATAACTCAGTTTTAATATTAGCAACTATTAAATACAGTTTCTTGATTGTCTTATAAGATGCTTTTTGAGATTATTGTATATGTACTTGTTGCTTACTAGGTTTTAGTAAATCATTTTTTTCTCGCAAGGAAATTTAGGAATTGATTGCAACTTCTTTAAGTCTGTAATTGAGGCCAGGCATGGTGGCTCACACCTGTAATCCCAGCAGTTTGGGAGGCTGAGGCAGGTGGATCACGAGATCAAGAGTTTGAGACCAGCCTGAAAAACATGGTGAAACCCCTGTCTACTAAAAATACAAAAATTAGCCAGGCGTGGTGGCATGTGCCTGTAATCCCAGCTACTCAGGAGGCTGAGGCAGGAGAATTGCTTGATCCGGGAGGCAGAGGTTGCAGTGAGCCGATATCGCAGCGTTGCACTCCACCCTGGGTGATAGAGTGAGACTCTGTCTCAAAAAAAAAAAGTATATAATTGAATAGATGCTTAGACTACTTTAAGTATTAAAAATTATATCTTCTCAAGGGTATTTTTTAATGCTTTATTAAATTTAGGGATTTTCACATTAATGGCTACCACCATTGTCATTATTATTATTAATTATAATTGCCATTATTTGTGTGCTAAAATGGTAAAGGATATCTGAAGCAATGTATCATGCCATCCTATGGAGTTCTTTACTGACTACTATCTTTTTCTGTCTTTTTTTTAAAAAAAAATCTTTAGGAGATGATATGCCTGCCATCATGCTTGTTAAAACTCCAACGGTTACCCCTACTACTACACCTCCTCCAGCGGTGGCAGTTTTTACCCCAACTTTGTCAGATATTTCCATTGATAAATTGAAGGTATCGAGCCCAGAGCTTCCCAAGCCATGGGGTGATGGAGACCTGCCACTGGAAGAAGACAACCCTAACTCACCTCAAGAAGAACTTCATCCAAGAGCTATGTAAATGAGAACATATTCACTAGTAACTGTACATTTCAACTTATGTTTGACTTCTGTAATCCATTGAAAACATAGAAATATTATACAAGGCTTTATAAACCACAGATAGTTTATAAACTACCTTATACTTTGAAAGAAAGAACTTTCATAAATTTTGAGTTTTGAAAAATTATCAAATTATACCTTCACCTTTTTTCTTAAAAGGTTTGAAACAGATAGAAATAAAGGTATCTATTACATTGTTAATAAAATAGAAAACAATTTCTCACTATTGTGGGTCATTATTTACTATCATCAGTTAACTTTTATATTTTTATATATCTCTATGTAGATTTATTTGATATCTGGAAGAGCTTTCAAGATGGCCTATGATTAAAGCATGAAAACAATCTTTAAAAATCTTGTTAATTATAGTAGTGCAGATTTAAGAAAATATTTCACTAAAGGAGACATAGTCTTCAAGTCTATTTTTTATATCAAAATGAATACAGGCCTTCAGTGACCTAACTAGCTCAAAATATGTGTTTATTTTCTTAGTGTAATGTCTGTGGCTAAGGATGAAGAACCAGAGAGTATGGATTTCCCTGCTCAGCTTCCACCTCCAGAGCCAGTTTCCTTTATGCCATTTCCTGCTGGCACCAAGGCCCCTTCCCCCTCACAGATGCCAGGTTCTGATTCATCAACACTGGAGAGCACATTGAGTGTTACTGTCACTGAAACTGAAACTTTAGATAAACCCGTCTCTGAAGGAGAGATTTTATTTAGCTGTGGTCAAAAATTGGCCCCCAAGAGTAAGTTAATTTGTATTAATTGATTTCACTTGTTAGATTATGGTAATCCCCTAAGTAATACTTTCCTGTTTAAAGTGTTTTTACTTAACTTTCAAGATTTAACATGGTACAGTAGAAAGAATGGGGGGCTCAATGCAATTTAGTTAACTTTTCTGGGTCTTAACTTCAGAAAGTAAAATCTTCCTCATAATCCCACCCTCCAGAAATAATATCACTATTAATGGTTTTGGGTAGATCTTTCCAGTCTTTTTTGTCTATGGATGTATGTTTCCCTTTAAAAATAGGATCTTATTATGCATATTGTTTTGAAACCTGGATTTTTTTTTTTTTTTTTTTTTTTTTTTTTTTTGAGACAGGTTCTCACTCTGTCATCCAAGCTAGAGTGCAGTGGCATGATCATGGTTCACTGCAGCCTCAACTTCCCGGGCTCAAGCAATACTCCCACCTCAGCCTTCTGAGTAACTGGGACTATAGGCATGTGCCACCATGCCCGGCTAACTTTTATATTTTTTTGTAGAGATGAGGTTTCACCATTTTGCCCAGGTTGGTCTCAGACATCTGAGCTCAAGTGATCCGCACGCCTTGGCCTCCCAAAGGGCTGAAATTATAGGCCTGAAACATCACACACAGCCTGAAAGCTGAATTTTTTTTACCTAATAATGTATTGTGGATATCTTTTAATATGACTCCAGTTTTCTTATTTTTCTTTTATGGCCGTGTAGTCTATTTACTCCCTTAATAGAGGACATTTAGATTGTTTTCAGTGCTTTCAGTCTATACACAACTCTCTAATTACCATCCTTTCTTGTATATATATTTTTGGTGCACTTATCTAGTCTCTTCCTCAGAATACATGCCTTAAAGTGAAATTGCTTAGTCTACTTTATTGCTTTAAGTTCTAGAAAGGATTGTTAGCTCTTAATCTGTTTTAATTATATCAACAGTATATGAGAGTACCCGTTTCTCAATTTCATAACTACAATTGATATTTATAGTTTTTAATTTCTAACAAACTTGTAGGTTAAACAAAATTATCATCTTTGTTATAAATTGTACTTTTAAAAAACTGGTAAGATTGAGTAGTTTATGAATTACTTGTTTATAAACTTTGCCAATATTTCCATTGCAATATAATTTTGAATCTAATATGCTATGGCTTTGTGGTCAGATTATTTACTAAATTTGTGTTTCTTTTTTTTTTCTAAATTTTTATATTTTAATGTCTAGTTTTAGAAGATGTAGGACTGTACCTGACAAACCTTAATGATAGCTTATCCAGCACTCTGCATGATGCTGTTGAAATGGTAAGTAACGATCGACTCCAACACTGAATTCTGATAGGAAGAATATCTTTATGAATTGGTTGCCATTGATCAGGTTTTTTCTCAATTTTTTGAGTTATAGACACAAAATTTAGTAAAATAACCATGAAATAATTTAGGGCGTCTTGCACATTTCATTATATAATCTTATAATTGTGAGAATGAAAAAAGTTATTATTCACCCTTGTGGCTCTAGGGAAAAAAAATACATTTAATGTAATTAGGTAATGAAATCTAGCTTATTGCAAATTGTTACCTCTGTATGTTGTCTTTACAATATTTAAGCAGGATCTTACCTATTTCAACCAACTCTCTTATAATACATTTGTTATTTTTCCCTAACCATGATTATAATTCTTTGTGCTAATAAATGTTTAAATTTAATGGCTTAAAAAGAAAAATGAGGTCCAGGGATGCTAACCCTTTCTAGTTTTTATCTATCTCTGTAGAAGCAAAAGTTGGTATTTAAAAATATCACATTATATATAAATATATAGAAATGATAGTAAGAATTTTCTTTTGAAAAAACCATTAAGGAATAGAAATCTTTACTTTATATATTTTTAAACAACCTAAGCAAGGAAAGATAATTGTACTCAACTATCATCTATATTTATTCACATCTTTTTAAAGCATTGTTGCTGTTTTTTAAAGTTATTTCACATAGGCCTATGAAAATACTTCATTAATAAGTTTTTGATAAGATTTTAATGAAACAATTTTTAAACAGTAATTATTTATTGCAAGTAATTGGTTGAGTTAATTGTGAAGACAGCACAGCAATCACTTTTATGAAATAATATGGGAAGAAGGCATAAATGAGATATCTTTATTTTCAGAGAAGCATTACTAACATTTGGCCTATTTAGTGTACCATGATAGCATTTTTCTCCTTTCTTTGAACTTTTTCAAGTGGCAAAGCATGTTTAAATTTATTTAAAGTAAATAGCTAAACCGAACCAAGACTAAATTATAACTTGTTTCTGTTTTTCTACATTTGCAACTAAATTCTAATTTTGCTATTTTTACTACGCCTAAATCACATATGCTACAAATTCTTAATAAAGTCAAATACAAAAGTACAATCTGGAAAAACCCCAAATAACTCGAAGTCATGTACCAGTTGGCATTTATCTATACATAGCTAGGGGATAGGTACTTATAATTTAAAATCATGTTAATACCTGTATTTACAAGATAGTCTCCTTTGTTGGACTCTGAGGCCCACACTGTTCCTTATTGTTGAGACGAGCCTATTTTGAGGCACGAAGAAGCCTATACAGGGTGCTCCAGTGAGGGTCTTCAATACCAATGCCCTCGCCAAGTAAGCCGGACGTCAGCCCAAAGGCAAAGGGACATTGAGGTCTATTGCTGCCATACCATACTTCTGCAGTGTTTCATTTTTGCTTGTGGTCCAGGTTGCAGCATTACAATGCTTTGCCCCCATTGCCACACTGTGGCATTGCTTTACTGCAGAAATACGAAGAGGAGGCTGTGACCCAAAAACAGTGCTATCATAAAAAACATTTAAGATTCATAGTAGCTCAACTGCATGGGACAGACGGTTTGATTTTTATGTTTTTATAATCTCCAGTTTACGTGTTACCAAATTATACTGTGGTTTATATTTGAGGCAAAGGTAGAGGGCTTTTATTATAGACAAATGGAAATGAGAACTGGATGAAAATAAAGAGTTCATCTCCTTTCCAAAAATGCTAATACCATCATTTCATGACTGCTAAGTTTTTATTAATCTTAAATTGAGAAAAACGCAATTGTTCGAAATAATTTATTTTTATTAATTGTCTTTACGTTTCTTTTAGGAAGATGATCCTCCTAGTGAAGGGCAAGTGATTAGGATGCCCCATAAAAAATTTCATGCAGATACAATTCTTTCTGTTCTTGCTAAACAAAACCAGGAGTCAGCAGTTTCACAGCAAGCAGTCTGTCATTCAGAGGTACTTTTTAACTTTAATGACTTTTTTTTTTTGGTTAGATATAAATACAGGAAAAAAATTAAAATATTCTTACTACTAGTTAAAGCATGCTAGTATTTTGTTTTTTCAAGGGTCAGTGTTATAGCAATTTTAACTTGGAGTCATAGAACTGTAGAGTTTTATAACTGAATGGAATTTAGACCATCTGTTCCAACCACCTTATTCTACAGCTAAAAAAGCTAAAGCTTTGTGAGGATTATTCATTCATTATGCAATTATTTATTGAGTATTCGTTATATGCCAGACACAACCTGGGAAAAGATACAAAGATAAATAAGACATGACCCCTCCCTTTAAGCAGCTTACAGTCATGAAGGAAGATAAGGGCTTACACAAGTAATTATTCAACAGTGCAATAACTGATCAAATAGCTGTATTTACAAGCTGTATTTACAAGCTATATGAACACACAGGAGAAAAGACTCTGCTTGAAGTTAGATGACACTTCATACACAATATTACATTGATGTCAGTCTTTAAAGATGGAGTAGGACTTTGCAGGCAGCAATGAAAGTGGGGAAGGGCATTTCAGAAGCAGAAATACCATTTGTTAAGGGATGAGAGCCAAGAAATATTAAAGCATATTTGGAAAGTATTGAAAATTTCTGTGTGGCTAGAACTTTAGATAAAGAATCAGATATGTGTGGAGAAGTAGATTGAACCAGATGATCATAAAGAACATTTTATTTAGGCCATGTTAAGGCTTGGGCACTGTGGAGCCCATGAAGGTTTTTGGGCAAGGGAGTTGCCTTAGGAAGGAGTATGAAGCCATAAACAAATGAGGGAGACATGGGGGATCTGTCAGAACACCACTGTAGTAGACCCAGCAAGAGAGAATGATAATATGAACAAAGACAATTACAGCAGAAATAGAGAGGAGAGAGATTTAAATTTAAGGGCATAGGATTGACAGTAATTGGTCATTGGTTGAGAGAGGTAAAGAAGCTTTTTTTTTAAGGATAATCTTGAAGTTCCTACCTTGGGAGCCTGGGTATGTGATTGTAGAGTTGTTGGCTTAGAAGTGCAGAGAGAATAGTGCCAGATTTTATGGGGAAAGTAATGAGTTTGATATACACATCAAATTTAAAGTGCTTAAGGAAATTCCAGGTAGAAATATACAACATTGTCATTCAGACTGGTTAATGATGGAGCTGGGACTAGGATTCTTGATCTATAGTGCTGTTTCTATCATATCTGGTTGTCTTTGCATGAACAAATGTCAACCAGCTTTAGATGAGTTGGAGATCTAAAGACTATATAGGGCCCAAGGAGATGGTTGGTTTTATTTCCTATTTTTATTCTTAAAACTTTAAATGATTAGGAAAGATAGGAGAAGATATAAAATTTAGTAATGGGAAAAAATGAAAGCTTAACATATTCCTTAACATATTCCTTCTAAATTTAAAATAATTAAATTTTCTGTAACTTTAGTTAGCAACAGACCAAAAATTGATTTCACCGGAAAAATATTAGTTGTGATGTCTGTGTTGCTAAATTCAAAAACGTACTCTCATAGCTGCAGAAACTAAGGTGCTTAATATCGAAACCAGTAAGTTGAGAGAGAGAAAGAAGGGACGGGAGAGAGAGAAAGTGCATGTACAGAGAGAGAAAGTGCATGTACGCGGGAAAAGGAGAGAGAAAGAGGGAGAGGGAAGGAGGGAGAGAGAATGAGACAAGCAAATGGTACAAAAAGAGGTGGCAAATAGCAGAAGTGTCCGCATAATTTATAAATTCCACTGACTAATCCCAGTTTTCTTTTTGAAAATCACTAATATCTGTATTTATTTGTTCAATTTTATCAGACCTTTTTATCTTTTAGATGCTGGGAAATTTATCTTCATTATTTCTTTCTCCCTTTCATTTCCACCCCTCCCCCGCCTCCCAAACTCTTATTTCTAGATATTGACACTTCTATTTCTATTTTTATATCTTTAATTTTCTATCTCTTTTTTTTCTTCTCCATTCTGGGAGAGCTCCCCAATCTGATCTACTAACTATTAATTTGTTCTCTACCATACTGTTTATCCCATTTATTGTATTTTTCGTACTTGACATTCTTAGTTTTTTTTGCTTTGCATTTTAATGTATTTTCTTATCGCCTACTCTGTGTCTGTCTGTCTGATTAATATCATTCACTTTGTTGTCTGTTTTTCTTTCTTTTTAAAACTTATTGACTTCTCAGGTATCTGGTTCTTTTGACCTGTGAGTTCATATTTCACTGATGGGATCAACTATTCTGTCTGAGAATTTGGGTAAGGATAAAACCAGTCTATGGTCTGTTTCAGAGAGTTGAAGAAGAGGGGAGGAGAGAGCCCTAGGGAGGAGAGCCTCAGGCAGCACAGAGCCACCCTTGGTCACTGTCCCTGCTGTTTGCTGTTACTCCACTATATAGCTCTTCTGATAATTATTGTGTCTTTAAGCCCTTAGGAAGAAGTTGCTTTGAGAGGGTTTATAATCCACTAGTCCTGGGGTTTAGAGGGGAAGAAGGTGAAGGAATGAATGCCCACAGATGGGCTTCTGGACAGATTTCATCTATAGTTGTCACCATAGCTAGGCCTTCATGTTCCCTGATATTACTCTGGGGCGCCAGCATTTGCAGCTGGGGTTGTTGACAAGAAGACTTTTATGGTTGAGGGGCAAGCAGTGATCTCAAATTAATGGAGGAAGAAACAAGCACTTTTCTCCAGTCATTCCTGTCACGAAGCTCCTCCACACAGCCTCTTCCCTAGGATGCAGCCCCTTTCTTTCCACACATACCAGTTTAAGTTAACTGTCTGTCTTTCCAGCGGGCTTTCACAACTTTTACTTTAGTTCTCAGAATCTGTGCGTTCTTTTTCACCTCTGTAGTTACTCCAGTGTTGATTTTGAGAGCTGTCAGCCTATGTTATTGTGCTGTCCTGGCTAGACCAGCAATGCAGAAGTTAGAATTCTATTTTCTCCAGATCTTTTTCTAAGCATTAACCATTTGTATATGCATAAAAATATATTTATATATATGTATGAATTTTTTTGAGACAGAGTTTCAGTCTGTTGTTCATGCTGGAGTGCAGTGGCTGTCAGCTCACTGCAGCCTCGAACTCTTGGACTCAAGCAATCCTCCCACCTCAGCCCCCAGAATAGCTGGGACTATAGGCACGCACCATGCCTAGCTAATTTTTTATTTTTTGTAGAGATGGGGTCTCACTCTGTTGCCTAGGCTATCTCCAACTTCTGACCTCAAGTGATCCTCCTACCTCAGCTTTCCAAAGTCCTGGGATTATAGGTGCGAGCCACCATTTCTGGCTTAGTATGTAATTTTGAGGTGTGCATATATTTTGTTGTGCAATTTTAAATTTTAAAAAGCCAGTTACAAGGCTTTTTAAAATTTAACATAAATCCTGAAGATCTATATTCTTTTTACCTACCATGTAGTATACCATAGTTTAATTATTCTCCTATTGAAGGATTTTTAGATTGGTTCCAGTTATTCCCTAATCAAACTATACTAGGTATAAAATCCTTTTTTTTTACTCATGAGAAATTATTTTTCTAGCTTTAGATACTAAGGCATGGAATTGCTGGCTCAAAGATATAAGCATTCATAATTTAAGTAGGCACTGAAAAATTGCCCTAACATATGAGATCCCTTTCCCATGTCACACATAATGCTTTTAATCTTAAATTTTTGCCAGTCAGATTAACAGTGACATTTTGCATATTTTCCTGTCTAAAGGACTATTACATTTGTTTGTAATAAGAACTAGTAACAGTGATACTTTATAAGTTAAAATATTGTTTTGCTAAGAAAATAGTGGCTTTTCTTTGTGCTTGAAACTTCTTGCTCAGAGGGGCATTAGGTCAGTGAGAGCTGGCTGATGGCAAACTGTAATTTGTACATATATGTAGATGGGCTAGGTATATTACTCTGTATTATAGGCAGCCTGACTTAAATTGACATGAGTTTAAGCACTGAGTATAATCCAAAACTCAGAGATACTTGTGAGTATGAGGGCATTTTGTAAATAGGCAAGATAAGTCTTCAGTAGGGTCATAGAGTATTCTTAAGGTGTTAAATAGTTCAGCAGTTACAAGTATCCTAGAAAACAGATTCGCAACAGAGAAGTTACTGTAAATTGTCAGAGTAATATAGGCATTGTGAAATATTTCTCAATTTCTGGAGAAAATATAATTGCCATCATTCTAAACACTGCCCAAGAGTCTCCAAGGGATTTCATATTAATTATGAAACAGTATTTTTTAATTTAAAGGATGTTGAGGCAATCAGTATTCCTAAAGAAGAGTCAGGCTAAGAGAATAAGGAGAGATAGAGATGTACATAGGAGAATGAAGACAAATTAAAGAGAATCTTGAATGTTGAGCTAAGAAGTTTAGCTTTTATTTTATAGTCAATGGAATCATCAAAGATGTTTCAGCAGTGATTTCTTCATATATTCTAGTAAAAAAAAAACACTTGTTGGTTGAAATTAAACCCCTTTTAAATGAGAAACATGGGAGCTTTCAGATATTGGAATTTTTCTTCAGTTCTTAATTAGTAAATTCATTAATTAGAGTATCTCAAGTCATAAAATGTACTAGTGATTAGGATATATAATTTTTTAATACAGAAAGAAAATAGGAGTCTTATATTTTTTCAGTTATTCATTTATTTCATAGATTTCATTTAAAACAATTTTGTTTTGTTTTGTTTTGTTTTTGAGACAGAGTTTCACTCTTGTTGCCCAGGCTGGAGTGCAATGGTGGGATCTCGGCTCACTGCAACCTCCGCCTCCTGGGTTCAAGCGATTCTCCTGTTTCAGCCTCTCGAGTAGCTGGGATTACAGGCATGCGCTACCACGCCTGCTAATTTTGTATTTTTAGTAGAGATGGGTTTTTGCCATATTGGTCAGGCTTGTCTGGAACTCCTGACCTCAGGTGATCCGCTCGCCTTGGCCTCCCAAAGTGCTGAGATTACAGGCGTGACCCACCATGCCCGGCCAACAATTCTGTGCTTTTTGTATTTTTTATTTTTCCAAGGGAAAAGAGCATTATTAAATATGACTAAAGTAGTCTTCTATAATCTCTATACTTTTTTTTGAGACAGAGCGTCACTCTGTCGCCCAGGCTGGAGTGCAGTGGCTTGATCTTGGCTCACTGCAGCCTCTGCCTCCCGAGTTCAAGCGATTTTCCTACCTCAGCCTCCTGGGTAGCTGGAACTGCAGGTACCTGCCACCACGCTCAGCTAATTTTTTTTTTTTTTTTTTTTTTAGTAGAGGCAGGTTTTCACCATATTGGCCAAGCTGGTCTCAAACTCCTGATCTTGTGATCTGCCCACCTCGGCCTCCCAAAGTGCTGGGTGGTGTGATCCAGGCCTCTATACTTTTATAAAAATCTTATTATTGATATATGGGGTAACCTTTATGCTGTTTAAAGTATATTATTCTTATCAGTTGTTTAACTGTAAAGTTTCCACTAACAAACTTTAGGCAATTTTTATTCATGAAAGAATGAGAGAAATTTTCTGTTATTCCCATTTTAAGCTGTATGAACAATGTGTAATGCATACCAGCATTTAGTGGTTTTGATTTTTTGTCTTTTTTGACACGGTCTCCCTCTGTCACCCAGGCTGGAGTACAGTAGTGCAATCTCGCTCACTGCAGCCTCTGCCTCCTGGGTTCAAGCTAGCCTCCGCCTCCTGGGTTCAAGCTAGCCTCCTGCCTCAGCCCCCCAAGTAGCTGGGACTACAGGTGTGTGCTATGATGCCCAGCTAATTTTTGTATTTTTTGTCGAGATGGGGTTTTGCCATGTTGCCTAGGCTGGTCTTGAACTCCTGAGCTCAAGTGATCCACCCACCTCGGCCTCCCAAAGTGTTAAGATTATAGGCATGAGCCACCGTGCTGACCCCACTGAGTATTTTAAATTGTAATATAATTTTTATTTTATGTTTTATTGCTATTTAATTGGCACTTGAAAAATAGTGGTTAATTTCATAAAATATATGAAATTATTATGTTGAAAACAAAGCCTATCATTAGGCTTATTAGACTAACTTCTTGAACTTTTCTTGCATGTTACGTATATGTGGCATAGAAGGCAGTTTGTAAAATACCTTCCAAGGAGTCAAAGGGTATTGTTCATGATATTTGGCAAACATTTCCTGTGTTGACTTGATTTTAATATAATGGTTTTAACAATTGTTTCTACTTTTTAAAGGACTTGGAAAACAGTGTGGGTGAACTTAGTGAAGGACAAAGACCCCAGCTAACAGCGGCAGCGGAAAACATCTTTATGGGACATTCTCTCTATATGCAGCCACCTGTCACTAATGTACAGTCTTTGGATCAACAGTGTGATCCTAAACCATTATCTCGGCAGTTTGACGCAGTTTCAGGTATACACCAAAATATTTTTTCTTGATGTGTCATAGTAGTATCCCTAATCTAAGTTGAGAAAAGTATACCTATTTTCAGATGGGGGCTTGCAAAATTTCTTTATTAAAAGGGATTTTAATAATTGAAAAGTTTGGTGATAACTTTTTTTATAATATGTATAGCAGTGTTTCCCCAAATGTGATTCATATATCAATGTTGGTACTTGAACCATTGGGTGGTATGTGAATTAATTTTGGTAATACACATACATACACTTAAAACTTTTTAACTGTGATACTTTTATTTCATTTTATTTGCTTATTTGTTTATGTATTTATTTATTTAGAGACAGAGTCTCACTCTGTCACCCAGGCTGGAGTGCAGTGGCACAATCTCGGCTCACTGCAAGCTCCACTTCCCGAGTTCACGCCATTCTCCTGCCTCAACCTCCCGAGTAGCTGGGACTACAGGTACCCGCCACCACACCTGGCTAATTTTTTATATTTTTAGTACAGACGGGGTTTCACCGTGTTAGCCAGGATGGTCTTGATCTCCTGACCTCGTGATCCGCCTGTCTCGGCCTCCCAATGTACTGGGATTACAGGTGTGAGCCATCACACCTGGCCTATTTTATTTTATTTTATTTATTTATTTTTTTAGTTTTTTTGGAGATGGAGTCTTGCTATGTCACCCAGGCTGGAATGCAATGGTGTAATCTCGGCTCACTGCAACCCCTGCCTCCCGGGTTCAAGCTATTCTCCTGCCTCAGCCTCCTGAGTAGCTGGGATTACAGGCATGTGCCACCAAGCCCAGCTAGTTTTTGTATTTTCATAGAGACAGGGTTTCACTATGTTGGCCAGGCTGGTCTCGAACTCCTGACCTCAGGTATTCTGCCCGCCTCAGCTTCCCAAAGTGCTGGGGTTACAGACGTGAGCCACCATGCCCAGCCGATGCATTTATTTTAATATGTACTAGAAAAATATAACGAATCCATGAAAACTGACATAACAGATCTTTAGGACAAGGTTAAATTAGATAATACTGTAGACATTTATTCCTTATACTATATGGATTTCAGTAGCACTTAGTGCATTCAGGACTATTTTAGAATTTAAATAAACTTTCTGTTGTGACACATTGGAAATAAGGATAGAATAGAGAATACCAATCGCTAGCATATATAGTTGACTCTCATCTATGGACCATTGTTATATTCTGTGGTCACCACAAACATATTAACAAATATTGAACCATTGCTCCTAGGATAAATACAGGATTAGGTTTCTGTGAGCCTCTGGTCATAACATTTTTATCAACTGATCAATATATAACCTGGTTTTAATTATGTTTCTGTTTAAAGAAATCTTAATATATATTTTGGATTCATTAATATTGAACTCACAGCCATTGAACTATCCAGCAGTGTAACTTGTGCCTGAAGGAGGCCTATGTAACACATATATTTTCTCCATAAGACACAGCAGAAGAGCCTTTTCGTGCTTAGAAACACTAGACAGGCCGGGCGCGGTGGCTCACGCCTGTAATCCAGCACTTTGGGAGGCCAGGGTGGGCGGATCACCTGAGGTGAGGAGTTTAAGACCAGCCTGGCCAACATGGTGAAACCTCATCTCTACTGAAAATGCAAAAATTAGCCAGGCATAGTGGCAGGCGCCTGTAATCTCAGCTACTTGGGAAGCTGAGGCAGGAGAATTGCTTGAACTCGGGAGGTGCAGAGGGCAGAGGTTGCCATGAGCCGAAATCGCACCACTGCACTCCAGCCTGGGCAACAAGAGCGAGTCTTTGTCTCAAAAAAAAAAATAAAGAAAGAAAGAAACACTGGACAGTACCTCAGCGCTAAGGGGCCATTTTAAACAGTGAAATCACCAAAAAACAAAAAAACAAAACAAAAAAAACATGAAATGTGAAAAACACAGCTTTACATATACTGTGAAAAGGTTACTTGTTTACAGTATGAGAGCTGAAATAAGGTGGAATGTATCCTTGTTCACCATCAACTGGAAAAATGCATATAAGGCAATTTAAGTTTTTCGCCACTCTGTACATGTCCACAAATGACCACAAAGGTGCTGCAAGTATTGATTTGGGGATTATAAATACATTTTAGCAAGTAAGTAAATTTGCAAATATGTAATTTACAAATAAATGAGGATCTGCTATATTCTTATTATTGATTTTTAAATGCCCATTGCTTCTTTCTCTTAAGTGAAAAGAAACTTCTGGAGGCATGCAGATTTGCCAGAAATCGGAAAAGGAAAAACCTGAAGTTAAAGTATTTAGTTTCATATTGAGTGAATACCTTGTATCGTTCAGAATTGGGAGAAGTTCGAGACTGAATTTCCCATGTGAATAAATGTAAAGATTGGCCTTATTTCTCATTTTGTACACATAATGAGAGTATTAAATGTTTTACATTCTTTAAAATTTGTAGGATTCAAATAGCATGAAATGTGACTTACATTTTTGTCCAGCTAAATGTGCAGAATGCAATTAAACAGAGTTAACACTAGGTGGCTCTCGCAGATCACTTGAACTACTAGGTACTTAAGAGCTACTAGGTACCTGAGAGCAACTAGGCACTTAGTTGAAATGTTACAGATAAACTCCCTGAGGAGATAGCCTCTCTGGTCCTTTCTTAAATTTCTGGTAACCCTAGCAGATTACCTATAGGACATTGCATTTTTAATGTTAGATACATTGTAGGTATTTGTTTGATTGGAAAAAATAAGTAACATAGTATAACATAAGACTGAGCACATATGTAAGGCAGTATAGCAAAATAGCTAAGAGTTTAGGCTTTGAGAGTTTCCAAAATGGGTTTGAATTCCAGCTCTGTATATCTTTGGTCAAATAACTTAATGTTCCTGAACCCAAATTTCTTCATGTGTCAAGTGGGGATAATATTGCTATGTACAAAATTGCCCCACATTTAACAGCTGAAGGCAACAAATATTTATTATCTCACAGAACTCTGAAAGTCACAAATCCGGTAGTGGCTTACCTGGGTGGTTGTCAGGATGTCTTCTGACGTGGCAGTCAAGATGATGGCTTGGACTGAGGTCATCTGAAGGCTTGACTAGGGTTGAAGGATCCACTTTCCAAGCTCACTCATGTGCCTTTAGCAAGAGGCTTCACTTCCTCACCATGTTAAACAGTCCATAGGGCCATGAATGATGTGGTAGCAGGCATCTCCCAAGAGAAAGTAAGCAATCAAGATGGAAACCATAATGTCTTTTTTTTTTTTCTTCTTTTGAGAGAAAGTAGCTCCTTAGTAGCTGGGACTACAGATGCACACCACCATGCCTGGCTGATTTTTGTATGTTTTTATAGAGGTGGGGTTTTGCCGTGTTGGCCAGGCTGGTCTCAAACTTCTGAACTCAAGTGATCCACCTGCCACAGCCTCCCAAAGTGCTGGGATTACAGGTGTGAGCCACTGCGCCCAGCTGATAATGTCTTTTATAACCTAATCTCCAAAGTGACATGCCATCACTTCTGTCATATTCCATTGATAACACAGACCAATCATGGAAAAACTTAAGAGATGAGTTTAAAAAGGGGTGAATACCAAGAGGGCAGGGATCATTGGGGGCTATCTTGGAGGTAATAGTGTCTATCTCATTACGGTTATTAGGTACATGTATTTGACAATACATGTGAAGTAGTAAGCACGGTGCTTGGCACATGGTGTTGTTCTCTTTAATAATGCTTGGAGCATGAAAAGTACTATCTTATATGTACTTCATAGAATCAGAAACTATCAACAGTTGACTAAAAGGACTTTGCCTATAGAAAACTAATTTGTTCCTCTTGTTTCAAGATTTTCTCCTGGTGACCACAGAATATAACTGTGGTCCATAGATGAGAATCAACTATATATGCTAGTGATTGGTATTGCTTTTCATCAACGTTGCTTACAGAGGGTCATCTATTCTTACTTTGCCCCTCCCCACCCTTGCTAATTTTCAGGAAATGTCCTATTTCCTGTAGTTCTCTATCACTGTCTCCATTCCTTAGGCTCTCAGGTTGGGTTGAGTAACTGAATGATGCAAAATTGGCTTTGAGGAGTTGTCTTGGGGACCCTAAAATGTAAGCTATAATTTGAATGAATTATATGTGGACCCTGGGAGATACTACGAACTACAGCTTTTTATTTACTCAAAAAACCCGTATTGAATACCCACTGTATACCTAGAGCTGTGTAAGTACTACATTAAGCACTCAAGATTCAAAGATGATTGATGTCTGCTCTCAAGACATTTACTAACTAGTGTGGGAGAAATAAATAACAATTATAATATTGTATGACTAGTACAACATATGGCTGTGGGAGTGCAGAGGAGGAATTCAGCTCATTTGTGAGGGCTTAGAAAAGGTTTTCTGCAAGAGCCAATGTGAAATTGAATCTTAAGGGAATTAGCCAGATGGTAAATTATAAGAATATTCCAGTTTGTTCATTTACCTTATTCAGAAGACATTTTTGAGTGCCTGCTATGTGCTGAGCATGTGCTAGGTGCTAGGAATATGAAACTTGGTAAGGCCCTTTTCACAATGATTGTTTTTTCTCTAGTAGACATAGTAGATAAGAAAGCAAAAACATGCAATACTGTAGTTATTGTGAAGAAGTCCATATAGGATGGATGTTCAGGTCAATTGTAGTTGAAGGGATTCAGGAAAGACTTCATAGATGAGGGAAGTCTTGCTTGAAGTGACTCCTCAAAGATGAATAAATGCTTGCCATGTGGTGAGTGAGGAGGGACCTTTCAGGCAGAATATGCAATAAGACAGGGAACAAAGGCAAAAAAGCCCTCAAAAAAGCAAAAAAAACAAGGGTTAATCACAGAAATGTGGTGTTTTTGTCAAAGAAGTAGAGCTTAAGATGTAATGAAATTGCAGCAGGGAACAGAAACCAGGTCATGAAAAGCCTTGGATGATCTGTTAAGGAGTACAGTAAGGATCACTTTGTATACAAAATGGGAAATAGTAAGTCTTAGTTTATACTTATTCCCATGAACAGTTCAGTCTTAAGTTTCTGTCAATTCTGAATGTTGTGTGATATTTATCAGTCTGCTAAAGATTATAAATAAATATGATCATATTTACCTTTTATTTAGCAAGATCATCTGAGGTGCAATGTGATGGGTAGATTGGAAGAGTTAAGACTGGATGCAAGGAACCTGATTAGACAACCATTAAAGTTGACCTGATGAGATATTATTCAGTAGGGAGGATATATAAAAAGGGAGATTTGAGAGAGAATTAAGGAGATGGACAGGAATTCATTTGAGTGTGAGCAGTAAAAAAGTAGCAGAAAGTCTAAGAAATACCTAGGTTTCTGGCTAGAATTATTGGATAGATGGTCATCTCAGTCGCTGAGAGAGAGCGAATATGGAGGAAGGACAGAATTAGGAGGAAAGAGGTGGAGTGGAGTTTATACATACTGAATGTGTGATGCCTTTGACTTTCATACAAATGAAAAAAATCCGTTAGATATGCCAGACCAAAAATTCTTGCTGGACTGGCAATTTTAGGCAAATTTAGTGTTCTCTAAAAGTCTGCCATGGTTGCTCTCCACTACAATAAAATCCTAGGAAAACAAAATTAGGGATTTCTAGTTATGATTAATTAAATTAAATTTGACTTGATTGAAATAATATTTTAAAATCCCTCTTTTAAAGGTCTAACTTGCATTATACAGGTAAGACACCCACACTCAGTGAGCCTGCTTGTTAGAAGACACAGCAAATTCAGCACTGTTATGATTGTTGTCATGGAATCCTTTCCTGACCCTTATCACTGGGTTAAATACCTATCATATGTACTCTGTATAATTCTCTAATGTCACCTGCCTAATGTTGCTCTTACCACACTGATTTGTAATCTCACGTGAGGGTATGGACTTTATCTTGTTTACTGTCATATCCCTGTCACCTAGCAGGCTATGTAGTACACAGATCATAGTAAATATCTGTTAAATTATAGGATGGTGTATGATGTGAAAGCTATTATGCACGTTTTGAGTGCTCCCCACCACCACTTTTTTCCTGTCCCATGTATGCCTTATCCCAAGTAACCCATGTTAAGATTCTGGCATATAACCCTCCTGTTTTCTACCTCACACATATAATTTTATGCACACATGCATGTACAATATATGTAGTGTGTGTGATTGCCATTATTTTACAACTTGAAATCATATCTTGCACACTTGCCTGCATTTTGTGTTTTACCCAGTAAACCCTGTAGATTATTCCAGGTCAACTGGTATTACTTAAATTTGTTCATTTTAATGATTGCCTAAAACTTCATAGTGTTGATTTCTAATAATTTAGTTGTTTCTCTATTGATGGATGTTTATTACCATTTCCCTGCACTATAAACAATGCTAGAGTAAGTATCCACACACGTATCCTACCAGATTGTTGTGTTTTATATACTCCTCCTTACTCCAGTGTATGTACTCCTGGGAAGCTCTTCTATACATGAGCAAATATATCTTTAGTTTGGAAATAAATAATGCCAAGTTGCTTTCTTGAAAGTTTAAACCAATGTATTTTTATCAGCAATTTATTAGTGCCCTTTCCTTACATCCCCTCCTGAAATTGTGTTGAATAGTTTTTTTATATGCCTCAGTAGAAATATGAAGATATGTTTCTGACTCCTGGTGAGTTTATATGTCTTATCTATCTGATATCCAGTCACATTACCACATTCTCGTATTAGTTCTAATAGAGTTCTTTTGTTTTCGTTAGAGTCTCTGGGATTTTCTAGGCATATACCATATTATCAGCAAAAGAGTTTTCAATATCTTCGTTTTTAACATTATATATAATTCTTTTCTCTTAATTTATCTTAGAAAAATGTCAAAGAAGTCACATAGGAATAGAAAAAGGCATAACAGAATATAAAGAGGCAAATAAAGCCTGGAACATGAGTTACTTTAAATTATAGGTATTATTACCATTACTTAAATTAATCTCATGTTAGATAATTAAATGATAATTAATCAGGTAATAATTTTGATAAATTGTTTTATACAGATTTAATACTATAATAGTAAAAATCAAAACTCAATGCGTCTGGGCATGGTGGTGGCTCATGCCTGTAATCCCAGCACTTTGGGAGGCCAAGGCAAGTAGATCACTTGAGCACTTGAGGTCAGGAGTTCAAGACCAGCCTGGCCAATATGGTGAAATGCTGTCTCTACTAAAAATACAAAAATTAGATGGGTATGGTGGCACGTGCCTATAGTCTCTGCTCCTCGGGAGGCTGAGGCAGGAGAATCGCTTGAACCCTGGAGGCGGAGGTTGCAGTGAGCCGAGATTACACTACTGCACTCCAGCCTGGGTGAGTGAGTCTCCATCTCAAAAAAAAAAAAAAAAAAAAATTAGAACTCAATAGATGTATTTTGCTTTATGTAAAACCCCATTGAAAACCTATATTAACATAAAAGATCAATCAAAGTGATTATTTGCTATATCTAGGAAATTGTCAACAAAATGCCTTTAAATGGAAAATATCTATGGCGTCTTTAAAATATTTTTTCAGGCTGGGTGCAGTGCAGTGGCTCATGCCTGTAATCCCAGCACTTTCGGAGGCTGAGGCAGGAAGATCACTTGAGCCCAGGGGTTTCAGACCAGCTTTGGCAACGTGGCAAAACCCTGTCTCTATTAAAAATACAAAAAATTATCCAGGTGTGGTAGTGCACACCTGTAGTCCCACCCACTCGGGATGCTGAGGTGGAAGAATCACCTGAGCCTGGGAAGTCAATTATGCAGGGAGCCTTGATCATGCCATTGCACTCCAGCCTGGGCAACAGGAGTGAGACTCTGTCTTTAAAAAAATAAAATAAAATAAATATATAAATTTTAAATATATATATTTAAAACAACTTGATTTGCATATAACTCCAGGTCTATTTCTATTGATGATATTTTAAAAGATTATCTAGCAAGACTGTGAAACAGAGAGCAGTGACTTAATTCCTTTAATTCCTTAATTGCTTCTTACTAGCTCTCTGATTTTGGACAGTTAGTTAACTTCTCGGAACCTTAGTAATGTCTGTGAGAGACAGTTACAATACTGTAACCTGTCTATCTTACAGAATGATTGTAAAGTTCAAATGTAATAAGATAATTTACTCGTATATGAAAGTGCTTGGAGTATATAGTGCAATGCAAAGGTACAGTGATATTAGATACGTAGATATCTCTGCTCTTCTTTTTACTGATTTGACTGAGGTGCCATTTATTTATTTATTTGTTTGTTTATTTATTTTGAGACGAGGTCTCACTTTGTCACCCAGACTGGAGTGCAGTGATGCTATCTCAGCTCAGTGCAACCTCCACCTCCCGGGTTCAAGTGATTCTCCTGCCTCAGCCTCCTGAGTAGCTGAGATTACAGGCACATGCCACCACACCCAGCTAATTTTTGTATTTTTAGTAGAGACAGGTTTCATTATGTTGGCCAGGCTGGTCTCGAACTCCTTTCCTCAGGCGATCCACCTGCCTCAGCTTCCCAAGGTGCTGGATTACAGGCATGAGCTACTGCGCCCGGCCAGAGGTGCCATTTAGATTTAAAAAAAAAAAAAAAAAAAAAAAAGAAGAGCTTGATCACTTGAAGAAAAAATCCACAGAATAGAGCTAGGCAGTACCAACATTTTCCAGGCAGGAAATTGCCCTTTGCTTTAAGATTACCTCTTAGATAGAAAGTATTCTATTGACTCTTAGAGATAGGAACGGTAAGCAGGAGTGTTAAGAGTTCGTATGTGGGAAGGAGGCTTCAGATGAACTGCATGGACAACTTGTTGATTGAAACTTTACGTAGAATATTGCGTGGATTTGTTTGAACATAGGTACTTTTTGCATTCTCTCTGAGTTTTGGTTTTAACTGCAGTGAAGGCTTGCTCCAGGTGTTTTTGTTTGAAGTACACTGCTAGTTCTAATTCAGCAGGTGAGACATCTTGGTAGTTTTAGTCAACTACTTGTTCATTTTTGAAGATAAATTTAACAATTTATTTTAACTTTTTGTTTACATTTTTGATAACAGGTAGTATTTATGAAGATTCATGTGCTAGTCATGGTCCAATGAGTTTGGGAGAATTGGAGTTGGAGCCAAATTCTAACCTTGTTCTTCCCACAACACTTCTGACATTACAAGAAAATGATGTTAATTTACCAGTAGCCGCTGAAGATTTTTCCCAGGTACCAAATTAATAGCACTTATATTTTACTTAAAATGAGAATTGAAACAATATTGCCTTAGCATGGTACCCCGTCAAGAGCCAAGCCTCTGAAGTCAGATAGCTTCAAATCATGCCTCCTTTATTTCCTAACTCAAGCCTGAATATAAATCTTAGTTCACCTAAGCTATGCCCTTGAACATATTAGCCCCTTTTAAGCCTTAATTCCCTATCTTTAAATTAAAGAATAAAAGAAATGGCCAGGTGCAATATGGCTCACACCTGTAATCCCAGAAACTCTAGGAGGCCGAGACAGCGGATCACTTGAGTCCAGGAGTTTGAGACCAGCCTGGGCAATGTGACAAAACGCCGTCTCTACAAAAAATACAAAAATTAGCTAGGCTCCTGTAGTTCTAGCTACTTGGGAGGTTGATGTGGGCGGCAGATTGCTTGTGCCCAGGAGGCAGAGGTTGCAGTGAAAGCAGATTACACCACTGTACCATACTCCAGCTGGGTGACAGAGTGAGACTCTTGTCTCAAAAAAATGAATAAATAAATAAAACATAAAAATAATATATGTAAAAGTAAGGTAGCTATTTAATTTACATCTCTGTATCTGCATACACTACCTAGCTTAGTAATTTGCACATAGTAAGTGCTCGATAAGTGTTTATTACATTGAAATTTGTAAAAAGTGTTTCATAAGAAATGTATTGCGTAAGAAATTTAATACTGAGTGAAGCCAATGGCCCATGCAATCTCATGTACTGAAAAAATAGGTTAATTACTCACCAAGATGTTAATCTAAAAAAGTTCAATATTAAATAGTTTTTTATTTGTGTATTGGCAATTTATTACTCATTTTGAAGTAATTTATGAATAAGTATTCATGGTATTGTGCAGCAGTACATATGTTAAGGATGAAACCAAAAAATATGTAAGATAAAGATTGTGGAACACATGATTATGTGGGGTTCAGTATTACCAACCTGTGACCAAGCAATGATTAGGAAAAATTAGTTAACAATGAAAAAGTATCTGTTAATAACTTCTGTATGAAAAAATCTTTTGTGACCATGATTAGGCAAACATTTCTGGAATATGATACCAAAGGTACTATCTATGAATAATAATTTTTTTAATTGGTCTTATCAAAAATAAGAACTTCTGTTCTTCAAAACACAGTTAAGAGAATTAAAAGGCAAGCCACTGACTGGGAGAAAATATTTACAAATCTCTTACCTGATCAAAGGCTTGTGTTCAGAATATATAAGGAGCTCGCATAACTCAGTATTAAGAAAACAAACAATCCAGTTTAAAATGAACAATAGATTTGGACCAGTACTTTACCCAGATATATGAATGGCAAATAAACACATAAAAAGATTCTCAGCTGGGCGTGGTGGCTCACGCCTGTAAGCCCAACACTTTGGGAGGCCGAGGAAGGTGGATCATGAGGTAAAGAGATCGAGACCATCCTGGCCAACATGGTGAAACCCTGTCTCTACTAAAAATACAAAAATTAGCTGGGTGTGGTGGCTTGTACCTATAGTCCCAGCTACTTGGGAGGCTGAAGCAGGAGAATCCCTTGAACCCGGGAGGTGGAGGTTGCAGTGAGCCGAGATTGCGCCACTGCACTCCAGCCTGGTGACAGAGCAAGACTCTGTCTCAAAAAAAAAAAAAAAAAAAAAAAAAAAGATTCTCAGCAGAGTTAGTCATTAGGAAAATGCAAAATAAAACCACAATGAGCTACCACTACACATCCATTAGAATATCTAAAATCTAAAAAAGACTGTCACGTCAAGTGTCGGCAAGGATGTGGAGCAACTGAACTCTTATACTTTGCTGATTGGGAATGTAAAACGATCCAACCCCTATGGAAAAGAGCTTGGCCATTTCTTAAAAAATACATACCCACCATATGAACCATGCATTTCACTCCTAGTTTCTCAAGAGAAACTAAAACATACATTTACACAAAGACATGTACATGAATGTTCATACAACTTTATATTTGTAGTAACCAAAAACTGGAAACAGGAAAGAGAAGAAAGAAAATCACACAATTTGTGATGTGTGATTATGAAGAGATTTGTGACTAATGTAAATTTCAAATTTGATTATGTTATAGGTAAGGGGGAGAGATGATAGTGCTTATGATGGAGCGTATGTTTCTTGAATGGCAAATGGAACATAACAATACCTACTCACACTTCTGAGAATTAAATGATGTTACTATATATAAAAGCTCTTCGAAAATTGCAGTGCATTATGCAGATTTTCATTTTATGCAAAAAGTGGTTATATGGAAGAGTTTGCTGCCAAATTAAGTTCTTATCCTGTCTAAATCCATTATATGTATATAAAGTAGTTTGATTCATAAGTAGCTCTGAATTTTCTAATAAAAATAGAAATGACTTGAATATTTGAAATCTGTATATATGATCCAAATCTTTTTAAAGTTTTTTTTTGCACCATCTTTTCTTTTGTGATATTTACCTCATCACCTATTTATCGGTAGAAGTGCTAATACATAAATGGCAATAAAAAGCAACTAGACAGCAAGCATATTATTAAAATTTTATAAACACTTGAATAATTTGACTTTTCAGATTTTTTAAGTAACTAAAAAATATTATGACTTCATATCTTAAATTATTTAGTACCAACAAAAGCGAAATCAGGATGTTAAGCAAGTTGAACACAAACCATCACAAAGTTACCTACATGTTACAAATAAATCTGATATTGCACCATCACAGCAACAAGGTAAGACTTGTTTTTATGTAGTAATATAATAGTTTGATACTTGTCTGGATATTGAACAAATATGAGAATTCTTTACTTTTGTATACATCCCACTGCTCTCTAGGTTTTTGTTTTCTTTAGTTTTCTCTCATTTAGTCCATTTAGATGAAGAATCGGTATTGTATTTGTCTGTAAATTAGTTTGTTCTTTTTACCAGTAAACACTATTTCTAGTGGATTTTTAAAACTCTTAGCTAGTGTCTTTCCTTTACCCTTACCTTTTAGTTCTTGTTCAATTGAATACCAAGGTCTTTTTATCTGTACATAGGTCTGTTTGAAATTATAATATGTTAAAGACAGGAATTATGGCTGTTAATATGCTTTGTAAAGCACATTATTTAGTGCATGGTGTTGTTGACCAAGTATAACTTAAAAACAATTGCCTCTCATGTTACATACTATTGATATGGATGACCTTAACTGTTATCAAACTTGTGTGGTTACCTTTCATTCCAGCATGCAAGCATTTTGATATTGTCTCTATGTTTCTGCAAGGCTGTTGGCCTCGTGCTTTATTTGCCATCTTGCTTCTTTGTTACTTACATTTTATATAACCTAAAATCTGAAATTTTACAGTAGAAATTCAGATATCTTCTGTTTAAAAACTTTCTGCCACAATCCTGGAAGAAGTATTAGGAATATTTTGAGAAGTGGAATTTTTCTTTTTTGCTTTTATAACTGTGATTTTTATTTAATTTTCAAATAATACTTAATTGAGCAAATGCATATTATTGAATGCCAGTATAATTGCAAATGTAACTCTGCATTTGTTGTTTTGGGAAGGACCTAAATGAGGATGTGCTCAAGATAGTAAGATTATGCCACTTAAGGTTTAGGTTTTCACTCTTCCATTTGTTGTCTATTCCCCTCTTGCTCCAAGTTTTCAGAACTTTGTCCTCCTGACCCTTTTTTTTTTAACCTTATCATAGTACATTAATATTAATGTACTGTGGAAAATTGCCTATAAAACTCTTCTTATGGTGATTTAAAAATTAATCATGATAGTATATCGATATGGAAAGATAAATGTTTCTCAGGTAATGTCAGAATTTACTTCTTGTTCTTCAACTGAGTCTTCATTTATGAACTATCCTTCACAGTCAATGATAGTTTCTTTAATGTTTTTAAAAATCAATCATTTTTGACATTATAAATGAATTTCATTTTCTTGGGGATGTTATATGTAATGAAATAATTATTTTTCTCAGCTGATAGGAAAATATCTCTGGTAAAATGTTGGCTGGTGGAAGGAAGTTTTATGTGGAAAGGGTTTACAACAGTTGGATTTAATACATTTGAAATGTTTTGCGTCGAATTTTACATCTAATACAAAAGTTAGGAGAGCAGACCTCTACCAGCCTTGACTAAGACAAATAAATAGCAGTGGGCTATAAAGAGAGCATTTTAAATACAGGCCAAGTCTTTCACTCTATAATTGATACATATCTTTATACTGAAAATTTCTTGAATGAATATGATTGCCTTGGCAAATATAGTCAGTTATGACATTTTTTCCCATAGATTTTGTGGGTTTTATTTTTTTTTCTCTGATGAAACTCTGAGACATTGCCAGATGTTCCAGAAAATAGAAGTCAGAGTGCCAAAATAATTCTCTGGAGCTCTCAGGACTTTGGGTGACCTTGAAGGAATTCAATCCTCTCATACATAGAAACCTTGAAGATAATGAAGGAAATTCACCTTATCACAAGGGAATTAAAACCACATCTTTTCTAGCAGATAAATGCTTCCAAGAATACTAGAACCCCAAATTTTGGCTATTTCAGGGGGAAGTATCATGTATTTCACTTAAAATGTGTAGTAGTTTAATATATGTCTACAAAGAAAGAAGCAGTAGCAGCTGTTTTAATGATCATCCATTAAAAATTAACTGAAGAATGGTAGGACACAGATTCCAGCACCGTATTGCTAGGAACTTAGTAAAGTACTTAGTTTTTTTCTCCCTTGATTATTACTTTCAGATTTTAATATAAAAGATAGGAATTCATTGTTCTGACAAACAATATCTTTGAAGCCTGTAAGAGTAAAACCTTTTTATTTGGTATTGAATTTATTGGTTCTATCTTTGACCACATGATACCACTTATCTGATTCTATGTACTGATTAATGTATCTAACAGTTTTACAGTGAAAGTGCTTTTTTAAAAAAGTATTTGAATAGTCATTTCTATTTTTCCCCCTTTCCTGTGCAAGTTAATTTCTACTCATCTTTTACTATACAAGTTAACTTTCATCAGTACAAATGAGAGGCTAGTTATAAGTCAATTTATTTGTGATGAGCCCAGGAATAATTAAATTCTATAAAGTAATATATTAAAATAGTATACTTTAAAAATTATTTTCCTTCTTTTTTTCTCTTTAAATTTTAAGACCATCATAATAAATTAACATTACAAAGTCAGACATACTATATACTACTACCAGTCAGTGGGGAAAAAATAAGTCATATGTTTTATGATCACGGCAGTTTTCAGTTTTTCTTATTTGTAGATTACACATGTTACTCAGAAAATAAGTATCAAAGTGCTAAAAGTAATAGGTGTGATTGCTGTTATTTGTCAAAATCAGTTTACATTTTTGTGGGAAACACAGAATCACAAATGTTTCTTTCTGGCAATATGTCCTGAGTTAAATTCGAGCCAATTTAGCACCTTTTATACTCATATAACTGTGATGATGACTTTAAATGTGTAAGTAGTAGAAAATTCAAACTTATATATTCTTAGAAGCTATTTTTGACCACGTGTGCAGATAATTTTTCTTTTTTAATGGAATGGTGCATTTTTTGCCTTTGTATTTGAAATTTAGCTAAATTACAATAGCGATCAGAACTATAGTTGACCTTAGTAATTTCAAAACCATAGTTAAAAGGGTTTTAAGTTGATTTTTTAAAATCTTAAGATATGATAGGGATTTCAAAACTATTTGTGTAGATCTCTGATAGGGAGGGGTTGGGGCACAGACTAATAAATGTGCCAAAAATATGTGAATCCAGATGTGTAACAAACATTGTCTGAATAAATGTGTTTTCCACAAATCCATGCTATTGATTAACAAAAAATAAATTCACTTTGAAATGTTGCTGAATTTGGGAGTTTTGTTTCCACCTAGGATGAGGAAATTAGAAAGAGTGTCACTTTCACCCTAACTATAATAAAATGTCAGATAAACTTCAAAATCATTAACATTTCTTGAACCTATCAGAGAACTTCTGATGCAGAGCAACTAAGTAGCCTAAAGTCCAAGGAAAGACAGACTCCTCCAAAAAGAGATGAGACACAAGCACTGTCTCACTTGTGACAGAGCACGGTCACAGAAAGAGACACCAGGCACCAATCAAGCAGATAAGAAGTATTTGGTTAAACTTTTTAGTGGGTTGCTAAAGGCCAAGTGTAGAACCATTGGTAGTCACAGATACAAGTGGAGTTCACACCCACTTGTAGGCATCTTCTGCACAGATCTCTAGAGAAAGATTGTGGGGAAAGGCAGAGAGTCTCCCTCACTGGTGCAGGCCTGAATGAAAGGAGTGACTGTCACTGCCAGAAAGGCAGGATGTCCACTTTGACCCTTCTCCTTTAAGAACAAAAGCCTTAAGCCACTGAGGAAGGGCCAACACATCTGTTATTTCTAGGGTATAGGTGAAAACCTATTGTGGCTGGGGGAAGGGTACAGGAAAAAAAGAATCCACTCCTGGCAGAGAAGAAGGAAATAGTCTTGTCCCACAATCTTTTATCAGCACTATTAGAAGTTTCTTATTGTTGGGAGAGTGGTTGGAAACTGTCCTGCACAAAATTTGCCAAAGGGACAAGGCAGAATTTAAAATGTCAGTTCCTTCCAAATTGATGTATAGATTCAGTGCAATCTCAAAAACATTCCCACAGGGATTTTTGGGTAGAAGTTGACAAGCTAAATCTAAAGCTCATAAGAAAATGCAGAGGACCTAGAATAGCCAAAATAATTTTTAAAAAGAGAAATAAAGTTGGAAGATTATACTATATAACTCTAAGACTTATTATAAAGCTACAGTAATCAAGACAGTAGGGTACTGGCATAAATATCAATGGGATAGAATAGAGAATTCAAAAAAAACGTCCACACATTTATGATCAGTTGATCAATTGATTTTTACAAATGGGAAAGACAATTCAATGGAGAAAGGATAATCTTTTCAACAAATGGTATTTGGACAGAGCTCATCTATATACAAAAGAATGAACCTCAATCTACATTTCACAAACATACAAAAATGAGCTAAAAAATGGATCATAGATCTAAATGTAAAGCCTAAAACTACAAAACTTCTAGAAGAAAATATAGGAGAAAATTTTTCTTTGTGACCTTTGGTTGGGCAGAGATTTCTAAGATATTGTAGAAACTATTGATAACTGGACTTAATCAAAATAAAAATTTCTGTTCTTCAAAAGACAGTGTTAAGAGAATGAAAAAGGACAAATCACAGACTGGAAGAAAATATTTGCAAATTTGCTTTCTGATGAAGTAGTTATTTCCAGAATATATTTTTAAACCTTACAAAACTCAACACTAGGAAAACAAACAACCCAATTTTTAAAATGGATAAAAGATTTGAACAGATACTTCACCAAAAAAAGATATTTGTATGGCAAATAAGCACATGGAAAATTGTTCAACATCGTTAGTAATTGGGAAGATGCAAATTAAAAATTAAATACTGCTGAATACCCATTAGGTTGACTAAAAGCAAAGAAACTGATACTACCATGTATTGGTGAGGATATAGATCAATTCTAATTCTGATACATTGCTGGCGGGAATGAAGAATGCAACATGCACCTTGGAAAACTGTTTGACAGTTTCTTTTAAAATTAAACATAAATTTACCATGTGACTCAGTAGTCCATTGCCTATGTATTTACTCAAGAGCAATGAAAACTTATTTTCACACAAAACCTGTATTCAAAAGTT